TGTCCTTTCGGATTAGGTTGAGGTTGTCCAGGGAATACTCCAGCTGGTGCAGCGGTAGGCGCTTGTTGTTGAGCTACTTGTGAAATCTGAGTTTCAAGCATTTTGTTATGTGTAGCTAATGCATCTACTTTGCTCACTAATTGTTTAATCTGCTCACTAGTGTGAATGTTTTGGTTTAAGAAGTCCTTGTTCGTCTGAGATTGGCTAGCTATAAAGCTCTCCATCATCAATTCAAGGTTCGACTTTCTAGGGACATTAGGAGCAGTCTTTTGATATCCTGGTGATGTAGCTGGTGCTTGACCTGGTGCGTAATAAGCATTGTTACTCTTATAAGAGAAATTCGGATGATTCTTCCAACCTGGGTTGTATGTGTTTGAGTAAGGGTTTCCTTGAGCATAATTCACTTGATCAGTGGGAGTTCCTGTCAATAGTTGACAATCAGAGACTTCGTGTCCCGGGACTCCACATAACTCACAGTTGGGTGTTACTGCAGCCACGGTGGCTGCAGGTGTTATGGCCAAGTTATCGATCTTTTGGCTTAGTTGGTCAAACTTCGCATTGACTTGGTCCATACTACTTACTTCGTACATACCTCCCTTTGTTGGTTTCTCAGTTGCGACTCTTTCGCTTCCCCAAAGGTAATGATTCTGAGCCATACTTTCGATAAGTGCATAGGCATCACTATATTCTTTGTCCATCAATGCACCACCCGCGGCAGCGTCAATTGTCATTCTTGTATTGTACAAGAGTCCATTATAGAAGGTATGGATGACCATCCATTCTACTAATCCGTGATGTGGACAAAGCCTAAGTAGATCCTTATAGCGTTCCCAAGCTTCGAATAATGATTCACTTTCTCTTTGCTTAAATCCATTGATCTGAGCTCTCAGCATAGCTGTCTTGCTAGGTGGAAAATATCTGTTCAAGAAAACTTTCTTAAGCTGTTCCCACGTAGTTACTGAGTTTGAAGGCAGAGATTGAAGCCATGCTCTTGCTCTGTCTCGAAGCGAAAAAGGAAATAGACGTAGTCTAATAGCTTCTTGGGTAACTCCATTGGCTTTTACGGTATCTGCATATTGCACAAAGATCGAAAGATGGAGATTCGGATCCTCGGTAGGATTTCCGGCGAATTGGTTTTGTTGCACGGCTGATATCAATGATGGTTTTAGTTCGAAATCGTTTCGGTTGATAGCCGGTGCTGCAATGCTTGAATGCGGTTCACCTTGCGAAGGATTAGCGTAATACTTGAGTGGATGAGTTTGTTCGTCAGCCATTCCTGCGTTTTCTGATTTTACGACTAGTTCAGGCGGATCTAATTGAAGATCTGGAATATTGGAATTATTTTCGAAATCGAGTATACGTCTTCTTACGTGTAAGAAGCGTTCCGATTCAGGGATTAGAGGTTGCAAGTCTTCGCTTTTGGAGCGAGTACGTGGCATACACTCGGAGATTAGATTAAATTAAATAGTTGATACCTTAGTCTAGACAATGCTACCTAAGTGCACTAGTAACTAAATTAAGGAATCCCCGGCAACGGCGCCAAAAACTTGATGGGCTAAAGACGTGTCTACTTATGCGTCTAGCGGTATCTTACTGCAAGTGCACAGCCTATCGAAGTAATATTTAAGATTATCGATCCACAGGGATTCTATCGTTACGTAGTGCTAGATGAACTTCTAGTTTAGCTAAGGCGAATAGTTGTCACGATTTTTGTTGGTTTCCTAAGACTATTGAAGGCGGAATAAAAATTAAGTGATTCAATAAAATAATACTAAAACGGTCGGTATGTAATTATACTAACTTAGGTGGGTCAATCTAACCTAGGCTTATAAAGATGTTCACTTAATCTACTCGGTAGAGATTACTAGTTTGAATACCCTCAACTCACACTCTCGTGGTCTTGAATCAGATCTTATCCCTAAAGCCCTATGCCTGCTCTCGCTAGCCCATAAGTGTTTAGAAATAATTTTTGGAAACTAAATAATTCTAATTTATCTTAAAGCGCTCTCGCTGTATTTAATTTAAATGCCTAACTTTAGCTATCTGGTTAAAATCTCACACTCTCGTGGTCTTGACCCAACCTAATACCCTTTTCTTACTCTCGTAACGAAAAGGTCAAATTTAATTAAAAAGTATCAGCCAGAATGTTAAGCGATTAATTATTTTAGCCCATGGTTATATCTTACCGGTTAAGTTAGTTATAACTACATACCGCCCTAAGGTATTTAGCTACTCATCGAGGTTAAATCAGACTCAGAGTTATTTATTAACTTACTAATGGCAGAGAAATAATTGGACATTATAAATAAATTAAATAAATTAAATTGTAATAACTGAAAAAACCTGATTAACAATATCTGGGTAGACTCCTTCTTCCACAGACCGGAAAGCTTGGAGTAGGCGGAAATAAAATTTAAAACGAAATGCTGAAGGCTGGAAACAAATAAAGGTATAACAATTCCCTAATGTTGGAAATTGTTACACGGTTGGTTTGGATACGAATAAAATAAGGCAGAAAATAAAATGCTGGAATAATAAAATGATGGTAAGGTAATTCGGCAGAGCTTCCGCAGGAAATTTGGATACTGAAGTCTGTCCCTAAATTCTTCTGAGCTGGTCCTATTTATAGAGTTCCCATGGGCTGGTCCTGGATCTCTTGCTTCTTGGGCTTTGCTGAAGTGGTTGAGAAAATGTTGGAAAGTGGCAGCAGAAAGTGGGAGAAACTTCCCTCACGTGAGAATTACTAGGAGGAGTGGCTTCACTGGTGACTTTGACGTAGTCTGGGTCAAAAGAATCACGTTATATCCTTGTCACGGGCGTGACAAGGTCTTCACGCTCGTTGCCTTATGTTTCCAAGTGTCACGGTCGTCACCCATTCCTCACGGTCGTGAGGTCCCAAAGCAAGGTGTCACGGTCGTGACTCCCTTGTAACGACCGTGGTCGTAACAAATTATGCAGAGTTTTATGCAGGCTTCTGTCTTGCTTCATTTCTTGTGGTTTCTTTGTTCTTTTCTTCTTAATTCTTGATTTGGCCTCACATATCGATGTACCTGCAAAATAGTAAGAAAAACTCGAGGAATCGAGCGTTAAAACGGTGAATGCGCGGTAAAAGTCAATGAAATCTAGCGATATAACCGATGCGTTTTCTCGTCATCATCCCCTCCAAGTAGAGTTGTCGGTCCTAGGCAGAAAGAGCACAATATTTCTAATTCCCCACTAAGTTCGATCCTCGTGAAAGATGGTTGTTTTAGTTAAAGCCCATTCGAGTTCATACCTTGATGGTCGTGTCTTGCTGGACAGTTTCTCTTCGGTTATTTCTCGAAGTGAACTTCGGTCCTTGGCAATCACATTGTGGACGTCTCCAACTTTTAAACATGGATTAAGTGTGCATTTATTTTGCACTCCACCCCCCAGGAAGGATCTTTATGAAGATAACTATTGAAGATGGATTTTCCTCCAACAATATCACAAGATTTTCTCAACCATCTATATTTGGACTATAAGCAACCTCTTTATTTGAGCAATTCGTTTTGGATCAAGTTTTCTATCAAAAAAGACAAATGGCGGTCTCCCCAAGACAGTTTGTCCATCCCAGTGACTTTATCAAGATTATCAACTCGTCAAATGGCATCTCTTCAAAAATCTACCAGAAAAGTTTGTCTATATTTTCTCTTTATTTGAGAATCTACAGAATTTCAGACGTATTTTATAACTACAACAAAAAAGATATTTCTCGAGGATTTTCTCCCCAGTGAGTCCATTACACAAGTCAATTCCCTATCAAATGACATCTCTTTCAATGTAACAGGTCAATCAGGAAACAAGAAAGAAATACTACCCGTCAACATTAATAACTAATGACTAATAATGACTTTACTTTTTCTTTCACACATCTAAATCACTTTTTCTTTGCTTTTTAATTAAGTGCGATGACTAATGAAAACAACGTGTTACCGAAAAAGTCATTCGGCAGTCCTATTCTCAACTTTCATCAAGAGTTGAATTTTCGACATTTCCAATTTATAAAATGTATAAAAATTAAGAAAAACAAGCACAGTAAATTGAATATTCTAAATATATGACAGGGACATTAGTTAGAAATAGAATAGAAGAGTTATTTTCTTTTTTAAATCTTAGTATAATTTTTTTAATTTTGGTATCCGGTCTCGAGAAGAACCCACTTTAAATATAATTTTTTTACCTTTTTAATTTTTGACATTTTTTAAAATTAAATAACATAAATAAGTTATTTGATTTTTAGAACAAAAATGTATTTAGACAACAATAAAAAATCGTGACTTAAAATAAAAAAATTAAAAAAGAATTGTTTCCATTACCTTACTTTTCATACCAAATTCACCTTTGGCAATGATCTTTCTTCTTGGAATAACGGTGCAAAATTAAAAAGAAAAAAAATAATGAAAAACTTATAATTTAATTATTGAGTAAACAAAAAAACATTACTGAAAATTTTATAATCAAATTATTAAATAAAAGATTATAATATTGCATAATTTTATATAAATTATCCTATTAACATATAATCCATCAAAATACTTGATTATAAGTTATTTCCTAAAGAGAACTTACAAATGAAATTTTTTTAATTTTTTTAATAAAGTATAAAATTTTCTAATTTTAAATAAAATAATAATAATAAATAAAAAATGATATAACTAGAATATTTAAAAAAAACATTGGGTGGGAGATAATTGTTGAAGTATAAGATAAAATTTTCTACTTAGTAGAATTCCAACCTAACATCTTAAGAGAGCAAACTTTCAAGATTCAAACATTCCCATTGGGAATTGAATAGTTGAATAGAAGAGTTGTTGATGGTATATGGTAGACCCGCCATTATTGAATCTTTCCTCTTTCTGTTCATTATTTGACTTCAAGTTAGTTATTCTTAACAAACTCTATCACAAAACAACCATACACATATATTATTACTTCAACCCCTCTCTCTCTCTCTCTCTCTCTCAACTCAAAGCAAGAAAATGGATGCTATCAATCAGTTGCAGAAATTCATCCAAAAAGGTTTATTACTTCTCCTTCTTCATCATCATGATTCATCGTTATTATGTATTTTCCTTTTTCTCACTTTTTTTTCTCTTTTTCATTTCAATTTTCAACCACCACCGTAGTTGACGATCCATCGTTGCAGACAACATTTCAGGTTTCTAACCGTTTTTTCTCCTTTTTTACGCTTGCTTTTGATTATTGATGATTTATTAATAGCTTTATTATTTCTCTGCAGAATCTTCATCAAGGTTATGTTACTGAAACTTTGACTCGCTTTCTAAAAGCAAGGGATTGGGATCCTTCCAAGGCTTATCAAATGGTATCTGCAACTGCAACTGCAACTGTCCTTTTGCTATATGATTTTCACTCTATGTGACCTAATTTTCGTCGTATTGGTTCGTGTTTGTTTTCAGTTGATTGATTCTTTAAATTGGAGAGTACAAAATGAGATTGACAATATATTATCGGTAAGTTTACATAATTTTTTTTAATCTTATTAGTGCATTAGATGTGAATTATGATGCGTGTGTTTGATTCTGCACTGAAAATAATTGATTATGTAAAATTGATTCTAGTTAAAAAGTGAGTTGAATGTAAAGTGATTTATGTTTGAATAGATTTATATAGAAGTGAATTGAACACCAAATTTCAATTTAAAAATCACATTTAAACATAAAAGTTACAAATTCTAGCTTTAAATAGAATCAATTCTACATTAAAAGAACCAAACATCTCAAATCTTTCCAAAATCAATTATACACTCTAGAATTGCTTTTGCCTCTTCAAAGAGTTAAACCAAAAACATACACAAAGTTAGCCATTAGTCCTCGTTGTTAAGGCATATGACCTAGTTGTGTGACTATGAGGATGTTTTATGTCAAATCCCGGGTTGAAACTTGGATCACCATATTTTCCTCTTTATGTAAGTGTTTATTTGAGTATGTGTTGACCAATAGTCATAAGAAATTGTTAATTAATCTATTGAGTCACATCTTTTATGGTGTTTTTTTTTCAGAAACCAATTATTCCTGCCGAGTTATATAGAGCAATACGTGATTCACAACTCATTGGAGTGTCCGGGTACACAAGAGAGGTGCTCATTCTCAGACATAATCTTTGTCATCACGTTCTATCTCAGTTTTGACGTGCCTTAAGCGGAAGTCTTTGCCTGTTGAAAGTACAATTCAGGCTTTTTTACATCGATTAAAATGTTATGACTTAGTTGGTTTACATCCTTCATTTTTAGGGTCTTCCTGTCTTTGCGATTGGTGTTGGGCTAAGCACGTTTGACAAAGCATCAGTAAGTTTAATTATTTGAAAAAAGAAAATAAATGTTGAATTGTTTTGGAGCAATATCTATTACTTTATCTTAAATCTACATGGTCAAATACCTTATGATCTCATTTCATATTTGTATAATTTTAGGTACATTATTATGTGCAGTCTCACATTCAAATGAATGAATATCGCGACCGTGTAATCTTGGTGGGTATTAGCATTTAGATGCTTCATATTAACCTGTTAGTTAAGCTTTTTGCTCTCTTCTTCTGACCCGTGATATGGTTGTAGCCTTCTGCATCAAAGAAGCATGGACGGCCTATTACCACTTGTGTAAAGGTTTTAGACATGACTGGTCTGAAGCTGTCGGCCCTGAATCAGATTAAGGTACCGTTTAGCTTGCACTGCTACTTGATCCTACAGAACCAGCATGCCCATGAATAGCTGAACTGAATGTATTTATAAGCCATTCTTGAATGTATAGTCGTATAGATTTGTTATAGTAAACAACTGTCAGAGCATGTTGAAAAGATCAATAATAGGCAAGGATCAAGAAACAGTAGTGTGTCTGATACAAGTCAAGTACTATACACAAATTTTGTCTCCAAATTTTGGAGTTGAGGCCTAACTTTTTAATTTATTGCTTCATGAAAAATTACATGCAGCATAAAATTTTCAATTTTTCCCAACTGTCTTCTTATCTTTATGATCTATATCATTGACTTGTTCATGCTGATGCTGCAGTTGTTAACGATTGTATCGTCCATTGATGATCAGAACTACCCTGAGAAGACGCATACTTATTTCATTGTAAATGCACCATACATATTTTCAGCTTGTTGGAAGGTGAGTTACTATTGTTACCAAAATAAGAAAAGGAGATGTTGTTCCGTATGGCTTTGTTTCCTACATGATATTTTATTCAATATAATTTGAGTTTGTATGGAAACCTTAGCGAGATGTTAAACACTCCACGTTAACAGGTTGTGAAGCCACTTTTGCAAGAGAGGACAAGAAGAAAAGTGCAGGTCTTACCAGGATGTGGACGAGATGAGTTGTTAAATGTAAGGTTTTTGTTTTTGTTTTCCCCCTTCTTTCCTTAAGATATATTTTTGTGCATAAGAAGTCAATAGTTGAGATATGAAGGAAAACATTAATTTTTTTCTGTTTATAATGATCTCGGCTCTTGCATACATTTACTCCAGAAGATACTTACAATATTTCATAAAAGGAGAGAAATGCATAACAAGTAGAGGGTAGGTATTCCTTTTACAGGTTCAAGAAAACAAAAAAGAATGCAATATAGAGAAAAAAAAACACCTTAGGAAAGCAGAGCCGGACAAGAGACCACTCTACAAAAGCCATTAGTTTAGCCGGACAGAACAGAAGTTCCTGCTTGGCATTTTTAGTTAATAGTTTTATTTCCACACTTACCTTTGAAATTGCCCCTTTCATTTTTTAAGACTCAAATCTGTTTATGAAAAACAGCAGAAGTCATTCCTAGAAGTGCAATTATTAATTCTGAATTTCATCATACATTATTTTATTCCTTTTAGAATGCACATGGTAGTTCTCTTACAACATCGAAGACCTATTCTTTGGTACTTATTGTCTACTTTTATATAATCTAATTGAATTTAACAAATGAAATCTGGTGTAGATCATGGATTACGCATCTCTGCCACATTTCTGTAGAAAAGAAGGCTCTGGATCATCCAGACATTTAGAAGGTGGAAGCGAAAATGTCTATTCTCTGGATCATCCCTTCCATCAACAGCTCTACGACTACGTCAAGCAGCAAGCTAGACTCCGTGAAGCCGTTGCACCAATCAAACAGGGATCATTTCATGTGGTATTTCCCGAACCTCAGGATGTGGATACACGGATAGCCAAGACTATAGAGTCGGAGTTAGATAGCTTAACCTTGAATAATGAGAAGGAACGATTGAACAATTTGACTGAGACACGGGTCTAATCCAAGACAGCTCAAGCCCAGGAACAAGAAGGAAACCCACCAGCTGAAGACTAGCATAACAGCTAAAAAAACAGGAAATGAGAAGCTGCTGCAAGAAGGAAGAAACAAAAGGTGTGGGACCCCAATCTTGTAGAAAACTGGGATCACTCAATGATTTCATGATGGAAGGAAAGGAAACATTAAGAGATTTTCATAGCTTTGAGGCTGTTATTCTATTAAATTTCTATTTTTTATTTTTCAATTTGTTACTTGTATAGTGAGGTCTCAGGTAGTACGAAGAGGGAATAAAAAGAAATCCCTTCTTGGGAAAGGAGTGCTAGAGAAAGAACCACAATTTGTAAGGAGTGTACCATTACAATTACTATCACTTAAGTTAAACAAATTTGAGAACAACAATGCAACTAAAACTTTTTTTATTTAGAATTTTCAATTAAGAACACAAAATCAATAGAGTGCTGCTAGTGTAAAATTTTCATGTCCAAATTACTTCGACTGGGATTTGGCTTATTGTAAATCCTAGATTTGCAGCATTCCACAATGCGAGAGAAATCTCAGATAATAAGCAGAAGCCAACCATAGTCAATTTGAATGGTGTGTCGGGGAAACTTATGTTTTATTTCCAGTTAAGTTAACCTTCTTTCGCATTGTGTGAATGTACATAAGTTGCTGCTAAGAATAGCTACAACTTATATTTCTCCCCGGAATTGGAAAATTCAATAGCCAGAAACTTTTTTACTAAGGGCCCTAGGAACATGAAGAAGAAAAAATCAGCACGTTAACAATGAGAAATCGTATTTGCACAAGTATGTTTTGAAACTTTTTTTTTTGTTTTTCATATTTGAAAGATTGAAAGATTAACAGTCGTATGGAAGAGTTACTGCTAAAATAAGTGATCTTCCAATGCGAGGAGTCTTCTTTTCTTCCAAGAGAAAGGCAGAAAGCTAACCGAAGAACCAATCGATTCGTTTACTTTCCCATTTAGCTTTTGAATCTCTTATTTCAGTTCTAGGTGCTCAATATTGAAGAATTATCTGAACAACTTGATATCCGGGAAGATGTACTACCAGATTGACGGCAACTCCGTAGTTCACGCTCCATTGCTGCTTTTGCTGAATCTGCCATCTCTGCATACCACAATGCTGTCTCCATTGCAGCCTTTGTTTCCTCAATATCTTTCAGGTTAACTTTCACCTTTCTGTCCAGTTCATTTTTCCTTGTGTACATTTCTTGCAGCTCAGCCATGACAGATGCCTCTTTCTTTTCTGCCAAATCTTGAAATTGCTTCACTTTTCCATTCAATGACTCAAACTCTTCATTTGGCATTCCAATTTTACCGCTGAATTTTGAATTCGAGAGTCTGCTTTGCACGTCGGACAGAATCTTCATCTCTTTAATTGCTCGTAATTCTGATGCTTTTGCTGCTTTAGCCTCTTCCATTATAAGTTGCAGATTCTTCTCGGCTTCGGCAGCCACTGCTCGGGATTCTTCAGCTTCTTGTTTCAGTTCCTGAGCCTTTCTGCTCATCTCTTCTGCTTCTCTTCTTGCATCTTCTGTCTCCGATTGTAGCTTCTGGACTTTACAATTCTGCGTGTAGAAGATATCAGCTTCAAGATCCTCCACAGTACCTGGCTGAGGCCCTGCCTCTTCCTTACCCTCTTGCAATTCGTCGGCGAGATTCGCAGCAAGATCTTCTGCTGCTTGTTTCTTCTCCTTCAGTTCATCTTGCTCCTTCTTCACTTGTTTCAATTCTGTTCGAAGAATATACACTAGCTTTTTAAGGGAGTTTTCTTCTGCAGCAACCTCCTGCAGTGTCTTTGTGGCTTCTCTGAGTTCTGAAGTTAGAAGTCTCACAGAATCCATCTTAGAAGCATGAATCTTTTTCATCTGCTCTTGCAGAACCTCAATCTCTGCGCTTGTTTCAGCAAGTTTTGCGTCTAGACTTTGGATTAGTTCTGGATCATTATATTCATTCTTTAAGGCCTCCAGCTTCTTCTGTGCTTCTTCTTTTGTGGTTTTATAAAACTCGAGTTGGGTTTCATTTTGTGCAGAGGTGAGCTTCAACTGTTCTATCGATGCTTTCATCGTTGCAATTTCCTCCGAGAGTTCACCAATCCTTTCCGAGTTTAATTTTGCAGAACGCTGAGCTTCTCCTGTTGCCTGAATTGCTGTTAGCTTCGCCTCCAAAACTGCATCAAAATCCTGCCTGATTTTTGTGAGTTCTTTCTTGGAAGAATCTAGTTTGGTTACCGTAGCCATGTACGCATTTCTTGCATGTTCTAGATCATGTTTCCAAGCTTCATATCCTATAGCTTTTAGAGATAACGTTTTTTCAAAATGCTTGCCCTGATTTTTGACAGCTTCAGCCGCTTCCATTGCAGATTGCTTGGATTCTCTCACATTGTTCATCTTGGTTGTCAAATTCTCAAGGGTCTCCTTGGCCATCTCAAGGTCTGAAAGTGCTTTGGCTTTCGTGGCCTCGGCACTGACTATATGTTTCTTTAACTTGTTTAATTCTTTTTGGGCCAAGATAAGTTGTGTCTCCTTTTCAAATACATTCTGCAAATTCCCAGGATAAAGATTAATGACCAACCTTTTTATAATAATAGGTTGCTAAAACAATTAATATATAGTCGTATAAGCTTCACAATTTCTTGTTAGATGGTGATCGGTTCATATGCTTCAAGGGTTAATAAGTTCATCATTTGTTTCAGATTTCTGCATTTTTCTAAGGATGGTAACAAAGTAACATAACATCTGATATTTTATGAACAAACAATGTCTATGCATACGCGGTTCGTTTAATTTTTAATCGATGCGAAAAAGTTGATTATATTTGATCTATATACCTCTGCTGATCTTCTCTTGACAGCCAATCTGTCCTTAGAGACTGCGACTTCACCGAATAAGGTAACAGCTGCTTTGACAGATTGGAATGGTGCCCTTGTGTCAATCTCTCCAACCTCTCCCCTTGGAGAATCCGTCTTTCTAGCGCTTTTCATTGTCTTTGCTCTAGCTTGTAAATATATATAGTATCTACAAAACATTACATTCAATTAATCATAAACTTTCGACAATGCATATGAATCAGCCAAACATTATATTCAATATGATATAATTGACACACACAATGAAGATTGAATGACATATGTAAAATGTCGTCTTATTATATTCTTACATGAAAATGATGAGAAAGTTGTGACCTTTTTACGTGAAAGAAACAAAGATGAAGAAAGGTGAAAAGCCTTGTAGAAATGAATCTCCAAAGGAAATGGTGTTGGAACTCAGAAGAACCCTAATAATGAAAATGAAAAGGTAGGTTCTTCGAGTCCAAGTTACATTTGAAAGGTATGGACCCTTTGAAAAGACAATGTGAGATAATTGGTTGGTTAAATGCTTGGATGAAGAATTAGTTATGCTATTTTGGCACAAAAGACAGAGAGGTTTGTGGATGGATATGCCAACCAAATAGGTTGGTTAAATACAAAAATGACCTTTTAAATTCTTATGTTTATGACAAAGCATCATGCTATATATGTTGGATTATTGTTATCATTCTTCTTGATTTAATTAGATTATGATCTATAGAAAAACTAATTCATATCCTTATAGATCATTCAGTTGTACTAATAACTAATTCATATGTTATCATAATAACCATCCAAGAGATTGAAGATATTTTTGGCTTGTGCTTTCAAATTCACTACTTAGAACTCATGTCTAAAAAAAATTAGAATAATATTAACGATTATATTAATTAAAAAACCATTTATAATGATTAGTTTGTTAATAATTTTATAAAGAAATTATATTTTTAACTTTTAAAACTATGACTTATTTGTTAATCTTATGGTTTATCCGTTGACGCAATAATGTGATATATTTTTATATCATTCACATTTAATTATTGACTAACTACAATGTAATTAAGGTTTAGTTATAATATATAGTTTGATATTTATCACTCGTTTTATACAGATGAATTATATACAATTTTAGATTTTTTCACCCAAATAATCAAGTTTCCACACTATAATTTCCAATCTACCCAACTTTCCAATATATTATCCAATCTACCCTAGTTTTGAATTTTTTTTATTTTTTTTTACAAGGGGGCGCCATGGAGGTTGGAGTCTCCCTTATAATTTGTATGGTGGCGCCATGGGGTTGGAGCCACCCTACAAATTATAAAGGGGGCGCCATACCCATTGGAGCCTCCCTTAAACGACTTAAAGGGGGCGTCATCCCCTATGGAGCTCCCTTTATACGAAAATAATTTTTAAAATATATTATAATTAATATAATTTAAATATTATATTATGGTTTTCCAAATTTTTTTTTATAAATAGGTAGACATGTTGCTAACATTGTTTCATCCAAATTTAGAAGAGTGAGTCATGTTCCTTAGAAGATATGGGCATGTAATTTTTTCACCGACGAAGCCTCCGATAAGGATGTTGTTTTGGAACATTCAGAGTTTAGAACAACTACGAAGAAATTTGAATCGGTGGCTAGAAGGAGACATTCCAAATGGTGAAAGAATTAGGAGTATTGAAAGACTTGTCTCGTACTTCTCTGTTGAAGACGGAAACATACGGCGTGACTGGGTGCGAATTAGAGATGACAACGAAGTTAGGTCTATGATGTTCGGAACTGATGATATTACTTTGATTGTTGTTATATCTTAGGTTATGTTGTAATAATCGTTGTATTTTAATGATTTGCGTTTTATGTTGTAGAAGTAATTCAATTCGTTTTTGTGGTAATGAAAAGTTGATATAAATATTAAATTGCACGATTACACAAATTTTAAAGACCAAATTAAATCTACCTAGAACTTGTTCCAACATTTGGACAGTTTTTCCTCGTATGCCCGAGAAGACGACATATTCCGCACAATCTTTCCATTTTCTCAGTTGTATCCATTGTGATTCGGGTGCTTTTGGGGCGGCCCTTTTTGTTTCTTCTCATTTTTTCATTGTGGTAGATTGTGTCTCCATGATAGGTTGGCCAGTAGTCCTCACTAGCTACCACTGGAAAACTGCTACTGTAGATACCGAATAAGTTCACGACCTTGTAAACTTCTGATAGCTGCAAGAATGGATCCTGACGAGCAGTTGAACATGCGGCAATTACATGTGAACAAGGCATGCGGAAGGTTTGAAACTTTCCGCAGTCGCACCAATTTTTATGAAGTTCCACCCTGTAGTGTCCCATTGGCCGACCCTCGTTGTGATCCATTGTCTCACCAACAATGAAGCTGTAATCGTGACGATCAAATGGTCTAACTCGATGTGAGGTCGCCTTAGAAGTTTCATCCCTCATATACTTCATGCTTGATTTGCTGAATATTTGCCCTGATTGCAGTACAGCGCTCCATTTTTTGCCTCTTGCTGCAAATAGTGACCCCAATCTGTAATACGTTGCCCTTACCAACGCTGTGATGGGGAGGTTCCTAGTTCCCTTAAATACGCCGTTTAGGGATTCTACAAGATTTGTGGTCATGTGACCCCATCTACACCCTCCATCAAATGACCTAGTCCATTTCTCGACTGGAATATTATCCACCCACCTTAATGCTACCACGCTTGACAACCTTATTTCTTCTCGGTAATACATGAACGATGGTTGGTTTAAGGCATACGCAGCGTTCACAACTTTTTTACGGAGGTTTCTGTCTTTAATGTCCCGCATAAAATTCTGAGCAATGTGTCTTATGCAGAAGACATGGACAGAAGGAGGGTTGTGCCAACCATTAGCAGGATTGTTGTAGGCGCTCACAATAGAAGCATGTCTGTTAGAAATCAGACATAAGTTGGGTTGTGGTGCGACATGTGTTCTGAGATTTCTGAGGAAGAAACTCCAAGCTTCGCCTGTCTCACCCTCGACCAGGGCAAAGGCAATCGGAAATATATTATTATTTCCGTCTTGTGCTACCGCCATCAACAATGTTCCTTTGTATTTTCCATACAACCATGTTCCATCGACTTGTATAACTGGTTTGCAGAACGCAAAACCTTTGATACATGGTTGAAATGCCCAAAAGAGACGAGAAAATATCCTACTTCCAGCAACACATGTTCCTTCAGGAGTGTATGCTGGTAGTGACTCCAATATTACAACCGTACCAGGAACATATTTCTGAAGTGCTAGTAGATACTGTGGAAGTTGATGGTAAGAATGCTCCCAATTCCCATATACATGTTCCACCGCTTTTATTCTACCTATCCAAGCTTTCCTATACGATGGGGTATAGTTGAACCGTGCAACAACATGAGAGATAATTGTGCTCACCTTCACAGATGGATCCACGCCCACAAGATGCAAAATCTCTTGGGATATCAATTGAGAGCTTAGTTTTCCATGATCTTGCCGATTGATGTTGGTTGTGAAACTATGAGGTGGATCCATCGAACCTATCTCCCAACAATCACTTCTTTTCCGATAGGACGCTGCTAATCGAAACTTGCAACTTGCGTTACGACAAACTACGACATAGCGTTTTGAGTCGTTCCGATTGATGTAAAAATCAACAAAGTTATCCATATGAAACTTTCTTATGGCTTTCATGCATTCCTCTTTCGTGCGGTACTGGTTTCCGACTTTCAAGACACTTTCAATTTGTTGAGAAGGATTGTAGAAATAATCTGAGGAAGTATCGTCGCCACTGCATTGCAAGTTCGTCATGTGTTGAGGAGGACAATACACTTGATTTAATGGTAGGGCCTCTTCATCTATGTCTTGCAGGGGAGTCATTGCAGTGTAGTCCCCGCTCCCGAACAAATTAACCATTTGATCAACCATGGTCTCTGGATCTTATTCCTCCTCGTCCACAACATCAATTTCATCTATATCCGTTGTTTCACCAACCTCATGTTCAGTTTGGCAGAGTAACAGATAAACCTCGATATAGTCGAGGCCAGATTGTTCGTGACTATCAAACATTTGATCAACATCGCTGTTGTCAAGTATTTTCTCTTGAAAATACTTGACCTCATTGTTGTAAAAAAAATAGGACTTCTGTAAATGATCTGGGAGATTTGACCAGACAAAATCTTCGACTGTATGCGCTCTTTGAAATGCACAAAATTTGCTTTTCTACTCATGGTTAATCGGGTAAGATCTGTATTTTGAAACCCGAAACCCGAATTCTCAGAGATGAAAGTCTCTCCATTATAATGGGCATGAACAATGTAATTGGATGTTCTAGACATAGTTGAATGATAGTTTAAGGGATGTATACTATTTTTTGCTTGAATGTATACATATAGATTAAAATCCCACGAATTAAATATTATTAAAACTATAAGGGGGGCGCCGTGGGGGATGGAGCCCCTTCTTTAAATTATAAGGGGGCGCCGTGGGGGATGGAGCCCCTTCTTTAAATTACAAGGGGGGCGCCGTGGGGGATGGAGCCCCTATGACACGTGTAAAATAAGTAACTTTATGCATGCATGCAGTAAGACAAGTGTACGAATTCATCTATCAATATTTCTACACATCAATCTCTTTTTACACAAATTCAACTATCTCATTAATATCAATAAATATTACAACTACACAAATTAAATTTTTACCTATACAACAATAAATTCAAATTTCAAATTTCAAATTTCAAATTTCTAAATTTCAACTATAAATACTTCTCCTCTTCATTCTAAAAAACACATCAAATATATTCAACAATTCAAATTCTCCCAATATTTTCCACATATATTCACACTATAGAAGTCATGTCTCTGTTAACAATGGGTGAAACGCATCGAGGAACACCAAGCAACATCGCGTCGTATGTAAGTATTTCTACTTGATAATTCACAATGTTGTATTTATTTGTAGCATTATAATGCATTTACAATGTTCTAATGATATGTTTTATTATTTTTTGTAACAAATACAATGTTCTAATGATATGTTTTATTTTTTTTGTAGGATACTCATGAATTTCGTACTCGTGGGCATAAATATTTCCCACATGATCCGTTGATTCAACCTTTTTTGGAGCGAGCAGGTTTTGGAGAGGTCGTTAAGATAACAAATTATCTCATTGATTCTAAGTTTATTTTGGCTTTGCAAGAAAGGTGGCGACCCGAGACGCACACATTTCATCTTCCAATAGGTGAATGTGCAGTTACACTCGAGGACACATACATGTTATTGGGTTTACCCATTCATGGTAAGGCGGTTAACGGTAAAACCAATCCTACCGGTAATTTCATAGGAGAACTCTTGGGGGTTGAACCAACCCCACGAGATTTGAGGGGACAAAAACTTTTAATGTCATGGCTCAAAAAATTTATAGAGACTTGACATTAACCCCCGATTCTCCTGAAATTCTAAAAATTAGAAAAACCTGAATTTATATAATGCTATTAATAGGGTTATTTTTATGTCCGGATACAAGTGGAAGCGCCGTTCACTCTATGTACTTACCTTTATTAGATGACGTAGATAAAATAAAAACATATAGTTGGGGGTCCACTACACTAGCGCACCTATATCGGTCTTTATGTCATAACTCAATAGCCAATACCGGAAATTGGACCGGATGTGGTGTTCTTCTATAATCTTGGGGTTGGTCAAAAATGATCAATCTAGCACCTATCCAACAAAATCAGTTTGAATTCCCATTCGCTAAAAGGTAATTATTTTTTCCAATTCTCATTTATCTATCAAAGTGTTTTTATTTATTAATCATATTATTAATAAATTTTATTGTTTTCGATTTGTAGGTGGTCTTCGCTTGGAATGAATTATGACAATTGTCCCCACTTCAGTATAACGCAGTACCGAAATCTTATTGATCACTTGGCGCAAGAAGATGTAAACTCACTCACCTACCTATTTATGTTATACTCTCCTTGAATATTATTAGAAAATACTAAACATTATTTTTTTCATCCTTCAGTTCATTTGGCGGCCGTATCTTGGTCTAGAAGCATTTCATCAAGTTGAACGACAAGATTCTGCGGTGTGGAGTGCAAAGGTGCCCATTATCAACTTCACCACCGTCGAAATGCACAACAGTGATCGTGTGAAACTTCAATTTGGAATGCTTCAAGATATTCCATGTCCCCCAAAGTGCATACCCGACAAATATCACAACGGTAAAGTCTCCGACCAATGGGAATATAATCCGTGGACCAAGTATGCAAAACACGAGTGTCGTGAATGGAGGCATCGCAACAACTATGTTTTGTCCGACAATGTGTTTCCATACGAGATGAAACAATCTATACAATACATGACTTGGTATAAGTCTGTATCAATTAGTTTCATTTCACATCCAAGGTATCTTAATGACCCACGCCAACAAGATTCATCATCAAGGCCCCAACAACCAACCCAGCCCTATTTCCAACCGCCAACCCAACCTCATTGTCAACCATCAACCCAACCCCATTTCCAACCGCCAACCTAACCCCATTTCCAACCGCCAACCCAACCCCATTTCCAACCGCCAACCCAACCCTATTTCCAACCCCCACTCACACAATCACAGCCATATGAACATACTCCTAACCAATTCACTCCATTCACACAAACTCATTCACAATCCGAATACCAATAACATCCACCACAATACGACACATACTCCCAGTTTCAAACACCCAATCAACCCATACCCACCCAAACCTTTACACCCATCTCACCCTACGATCAGGCATGTTATCGTCCTGACATTGCCTCATCCAGCCAACCACCCCAAAATAATTATGAAGGCATGAGCAACCCTTTTAATTTGGATGACTTTACGGATATGGACTCTTCATGGGCCGAAGTGATGCAAATGCTTGATGACGACACAATGGACCCGACTCCACCACAAAGACCACCAAGAAACGTACGTAATCGAGGATGCGGTACGGGCGGACATTTAAATCGACCGAGTCGTAGAAATTAGTGTACAAGATCTTTCAAACGAAGCCATTTGTATGTGATTAAATTTATTTAATCCAATTTAATTTTTATTTGTTGTTTGAAATTTATTAATGAAATTAATTATTATTTATTTATAAATTGTTAAAAATATGAAACATTAAAAATATTAAAATATAAATTGTTAAAAATTATTCAGAAATTATTATTTACAAAATTATTATTTTTAAAAAAATTTTAAATTATTAAAAATTATTTATTAAATATTTTTAAATTACCTAAACATTAAAAATAATTTTTAAATTTCGTTTAAGGGAGACTCCAATGGGTATGGCGCCCCCTTTATAATTTATAGGGTGGCTCCAACCCCCATGGCGCCCCCATACAAATTATAAGGGAGACTCCAACCCCCATGGCGCCCACTTGTAAAAAAAAATAAAAAAAATCCAAAACTAGGGTAGATTGGATAATATATTGGAAAGTTGGGTAGATTGGAAATTATAGTGTGGAAACTTGGTTATTTGGGTGAAAAAATCACAATTTTAATTCTTATATGATATTAAGACATAATTATCAAATCCATCAATTTATTTTACAATGTATTTATTTATGATAAAATATGTTTTCTTTGTTCTTATTTATAAAAAAACAAATTAAATATATTTAGTGTTCCGGCCTAGGCCCCGACTTGGCCAGGCAGACTCAGCCCAATAATATCCTGCCAAGCTCAGTCCAGTTTGAGCTGCGGCCTCCGAGCACAAGGTCCCCGACGGACAGGTAATGCCCCTCCGCGGGCAGAACCTGCCCATCTATGTCTAGCGTAAGACTCCCATCACCAGACACTGCCTTCTCCGCGGGCAGAACCCGCTCCCCTGTCGGGCAGGACGACGTGTCCTTCACACGTTCTTCACGTGCTCCCCTCCACGGGGACACGTCACCGACCAACTGCCCACCTCCGAAAGAGCAGGTCAAACCCACTTTCCGGAGATCACGGGACAGTTGGACTAGGGCGAAGACCACGTCCTAGTCTTCACTACGCCATGTAAGCCCTAGCAGTCACCTGGGTTGGACCTGACAATCCAGCCTAACACAAGTGATCGTTGGCCCAGCGCCGGGGTCTCTCTATAAATATCCTCTTTCACAAGAGGGTCAGGTAATTCACTTCTTACCCCTTTTTTCTGTGTTTGTGGTCACTCTGTCCATACGCTTACTTTAGCATCGGAGTGTCTTGCAGGTATACACCCCTCCTCTTCTTCAACACTGGTGAACAGGTAGCCGTCCAACAGAGTGTAACCAACTAGTGATCCCCTTCTGATCGGGTCAGATCATTTAGTATTCAATAAATTTAAAAAATAAGCTATGTGGTATAAATAGGATTGGAGAATGTATATACTTTGTACAATAGTAATAAAATAAAATATGTATTAGAATAAATTCTCTTCATTTAATTGTTAAAAAAAATCATTTAAAACATGTCAATTTATGTGGCGATTGCTAGATAAAAAGACTATCTTGCTCCATTTAATTCCATCAACTTTTATCAATTTCAACATTTTAGTTTACGTTACACTTGCACAAATATATTAGACAGAATGAAGTAGTTGTCACGCATTAGAAAAAAGAAAGTGTAATATCTTTTGAATGCACTAATTAGTTAAATATAATAAGAACGTGAAATGCACACAAATGTAAGTAATATGATTTTAAATGTTGATAGCAATAATTTCGATAAACTTGACGTCTCAGATTTTGATAAATTGGTTTGAAATGTTGATTGTGTTTGAGTTTACGGTTTTGCAGGTAATATTGGTTATTGGCTATTTCAACATTCTTCATGCATAGCTTGTGTATGGCTTAAGAACTTGATATCAAAAATGTGAAGTGTTTGTTATTTTGACTCCAACTTTATTATCAAACTTATCTCATAATATGTACATATTTGACATCACTTTAGCTCGACTCTTAACAACATTAAAGAACTTGTCTCTAGAAAATGTGAGTTCAAATATTTCATACTCGAAATCGTTTGCGTTGGCTATCAAGAAAAACATAAGATTAATAATGATACAAGGTATCAGGCTTTTACTGAACCTCTATTGGAATCATCATGAGATACACTGCATTTGAACTCTATTTTTTAAAATTACAACATCATAATTTATACATTTATACATGAAAAATAGACGGTCTCGAATTGAATTCTCTGATATGTTTTCTCAATTGCAACAACTAATAAAAGCTATTGAATTAAAATATCTTCTTCAGCACAATACAATTTGTATACTGAATACTATAATTCAATCATCATCACTGTAACTGCAATATAGTTTAATTTTGAGGATCATGGCCATTCTCAAGAATGTTCTGCACTTCTTTGGATTGATCATTTAGAAGTTTCAAATCTCAACAATTGAGACGTTAGATACGCTTGTTAGAACTAAAAGAAGAACATGCGTAGATGGAAAACAAAATTTTGGAATGGATTAATCATGCACTCGATTTCACTTTATTCAAGCACACATTGCTTACATATAGAACACATGACTTGAACCTACGATTACTAATAAGGCTCAATCAATCCATAGCGAACACGACTAATTTTTACTTGTGTAACAAGTAATTTAAGTCCCTTAACAATTTTAACTTACTTTGAACTATACTACCATTACTTTTACATAAGTTTAATAAAGTCATTTAATGATATTGTAATTAACAGAATTAATCTATGAAATGGTTCTGAACTATGATATTTTTATTCATCTCTTGTAGAATCTACACAAGTGTTTATTCAATGTAAAGATCAAGTACATAATGAATTTGATGAAATCACGGTGGCACTATGATTTTGTTGAAGCTACAAAGTGTAGTTTTTGCCAAAATCATGGTAGTTTGACGTGATTCAGCTAAACACACCGCCAATCTTAGATTTGAGAATGACTATATTTCTTTATTCTCTTTGGTCAACTATGTCTGCATTGATAATGTTTTGTCCTTCCAATAACGTTGTGGCGTGATGTAAGGAGATCTTATCTTTCTTACAATGACGAACGTCTCCAAGTGCCGCCTTGCCTGCAAAATGCAGAAGTTAGACATCCCATAAAGAATCTGGGCTACGCTTTACCTGATAAAGAAAGGCTTACATGAGCTCAACGACTAGAGCAGATGCGCCTCCTCCCCCGTTGCAGATGGCACCAACACCATACTTTCCACCCTTATGTCTCAATACCTGTAACATAACAGCAGCATGGCTTATAGAAACATGATTGAGAAATGGAGAAGTATAAGAACTTGAGTTCCTTCCAAGGGTGAAGGAAAACGGTATATAGAATAGCCGAATTCACAAGTTACCCCTAATAATGTAACTAAGATGCGAGCTCCGCTGCAACCCAATGGATGTCCCAATGATACAGCACCTCCATGTGCATTAACTTTTTTCTGCATTTGATAGCAAGTACATTATTTATACGAGGACACAATGGAGGAACCAAAATGCAGAAGCAGACAGAGCAACCAAAAAATGACATGTTAATATGCAAAAACATGAACCCTCACAGGATCAAGACTGAGAAGCTTCTGATTTGCAAGAGCCACAACCTGCATAGAATAGAACATGATTAGCAAAACATAGAGCAGGAGAGCATGAACAGATAAAATATGGGATGTATCCCTTACTGAAAAGGCTTCGTTTATTTCATAATAATCAATTTGAGAAGCCTTCAGACCAGCATTTGATAGAGCTTTAGGTATTGCAAGTGAAGGAGCAGTTGTAAATAATTCGGGTGCCTGCAAAAATAGTTTTGTTTCAGTTTCCATTCCAAATGCTCGTTATGAAGATTTAGTTTAACTTGTTATCGAACCTGAGCTGCATCTGCAAATCCTTTTATCTTTGCAATTACGTGCAAACCAAGCTCACGTGCCTTCTCTTCGCTCACTAGCACTAATGCAGCCGCACCATCACTAGTCAGGTCAATAAAAAAAGCATTATCAACAAAATATCGTGCAACTTAGAACCTTATGGTTACTGGTTACCATACCCCAGGTGAGGTGAAATAGAGAGAGAGTGAGAGAGAGGGAGGGAGGGACCTTATGCTAGATGCATTGCCAGCGGTGACCGTACCCCCAACCTTTTTAAAGTTTGGTCCAAGCTTCCTTAACTTTGCAGCATCAAACTGGAAACACGAATACGGAAGTCATTACGCTAAACGGATTTTCATCATGTTCCAAAATGGAGCAAGTAAATTTCATACAAAAGTTTAGTTTGTATTTAGCATAGGTCAAACCATGGCAGTCACAAAATGCTAAATGCAATGGTTAACACTAAAAACAACAATAAATATAACAGATCGCGCCCGCGCACACACGCATGCACAACAATAACAATATAAACCTAAATCTATGAGTATGCACACTACAAACTAAATGGTACATTAAGAACAGTTCACATGTTTCAAAATGAATCTATTTACCTTCCCCAAACCTTCATCTTTATCTACTAGTGTGGAAGGCTTTCCTCTTCCATTGGAAATTTCAACCTGCAAGGAGCAGAAAGTGCTGATTGAAAATCACAACAATGCTGCATAAGCTATCAAAAGTTTCAATGTAGGTAGAAGTCGTAATCATACCGGAATTATCTCCCAAGCAAAATGACCAGACTTTTGTGCAGATATTCCTCTCTCAAAGCTTTGAATGGCATAAGCATCCTGAACCACAACATATAGATATTATATAGCAGAGCAAAACAAAGTAATCAAACCCAATTCAACTAAGGATTCAAAGGAGATGAAAAAACTGTTCAAGGGACATAAATTACGCAAAAGAAAGAAAGTTCAAGGGAGAAAAGAGTCATGCGAAGTAAAATTATCATATCAAAATTAAGAAATATATGATCAAATCAAGAACTTTGCTATTCCAAAACAATTAAAAAGGGGTCATGGTATTCTGAGAATCATAGCCCTTTCAGTGATATTGATAGGCTTCTAAAATGTTAATATTCATTAAGCTAATTGAAACAATTAAAGGAGTTGGTGAAAGTTGTTAAAGCAAGAAACAATAACAAAATTCTAAGAAAGTTCCATTCGCTAGCAACAGTACCTGCTCATCTCTAGTTATGGAATGCTGATCTGCACAGAGTTCTGCGCAAACTCCCATGCCGAAGTCATTATAGACATCCCAAAGGCCATCTTTGAGCATACCATCAATGATAGTATCATGTCCTAACCGAGATCCCTTCCTTGCCTCGACAATGTATTTAGGTGCATTTGACATGCTTTCCATACCGCCAACCACAACAACATCATTGGAACCCAACTGAATTGTTTGCGCGGCAAGCATGGCAGCTGAAATGAAAAAGATAAAATCATGATTTGATATGAGCAGGAATACCCTTTTAGAAAATGAAGAAAAGAAAAAGAAGATAGATACCTTTCATCCCTGATGAGCAAACCTTATTAATAGTAGTGCAGACAACAGAAGTGGGTATTCCAGCAGCTAATGCAGCCTGTCTAGCAGGAGCCTGACCTAAATTAGCACTAAGAACATTCCCAAAAAAGACTTCTTGCACAAGTGATGGATCAACATTGGCTCTGTTGAGAGCAGCTAAAAGAGAAACAGGTATTTTCATAAACTCTAGCAAACAGCTTTAAAAGTGTGTATAGAGCAATAGATAAAAAAAACCTTTAATAGCGAGTGAGGCTAGATGTGTGGCTGAAAGAGATGAAAGGGAACCAAGGAAACCACCGATTGGTGTCCTTGCAACACCAACAATACAGACATCTGTAATAATAAAAACAAGGATTCATAGAATATACGCATAAATGGAGGAACAAGAGACATAGATACATACCTCGGGAATTTGAAGACATGGATGGAGAGAGGAAATCGAAGATGAAAGAAAACGTTGGAAAGTTAAATACGTAAATGAATGGTATTGTCAAAGGGACCCACAGCGACACCTTGTCTTGTTTTTCCCATCCTTTAGTACATAGATCAGAAAGTATATCAACGTGTTCCTCACTCACCAAATGGATCAACTCGTTACTCCTTACTCATATATACATACAAGATACATTATATCAAATTTTGAAATACTACATTTTTATTATTATCATAATATAATACAATTCGGATCATATATATATATATATATATATAGAATAATTCAAAAACACTATTTGTTGGAGAACTATAAATATTCAAAATCTCTCAATTTATAATCTTACTTGTTCAAACTAAGTTTTATAATCAATTTCTGAGACTTCTTTCAACGAGTTGCGTCATGTGAAGAATATTCAGCAAGTTCAACTGCTTCACATCTCGTAGTATTTTCTCGCGATCATAATGTGTATGTTTGGTTTAAGATAAATGGAGGAAAAGAGAGGGGAGGAGAAAAAATATTTTTAATTAAATGTGTTTGGTTTAAAATTTATGAAGAGATGAGAGAGGGGGAAGCAAATTCTCTCCAAAACACATTTTTGACATCTCCTAAATAGAGAGGATTCGAAGGGGAAAGGATGAGATATGAACTTTAATATTTAAAAAATTATTATATTTATTAAAATATTCTCAATTTTATTTTATAATATTTCAATACGAAAGTGAGGAAAATACACAAGAATGGGGGTTGAGTTGTGTTCGCCAAAAACATTTATGCTTCTGGACAGAGTTTAGATTCTAAACTTTGGTTCAGAATCTGATCATAAGTGCAGTAGAACAATATATCAGAAGTAGAGTAAACAGAACAATGAACACAACTGATTTATCCTGATTCCTCCCCCAACTGAGAGTACTTTCGTCCCCTTGCCTTGCGTGAGATTTTCCACTATAATTAACTCATGATTACAACTGCTTATGCACTTAAGCATAAGACTTTCACTACTCAAACCTACAGTCTAAGACTTCTCTCTCAATCAGCATTTGATTGAGACTTCATGCTTAGATCCTCATATCCTAAGACTTTCCTTGCTTAAACCACCTGGTTCAAGACTTTCCTACTCAGACACTCTGCTTAAGACTTCCCTTGCTCAGATCCTCAATCCAAGACTTTCTTGCTAAGACACATCGTATAAGACTTGTCTGCTCAGACCTTCTATCTAAGACTTCATTTGCTTAAATTCATAATTCAAGACTTTGTTGTTTATTCAAAATAGGTCAAGACTTTCAATGCTCAAGCACATAGTAATAGACTTACTTGGCTCAAACTTTTCAACTGGAGACTTTGATGCTCAAACACATAGCATGAGACTTTGATATTAATTGCGGAACAACATGTTCAGCAAAAAAAGAGAACAAAGTGTATTTGATCCTGAATCAGAGGTGCAAGGTAATAACCTTAACAAAGACCTTAAGCACTAAATATTTCCAGAAGATTCTGCAGTCAGTAGTGTTGATCTTGTTATTTCTTCATTTAGATAGAGGCGTTGAACACCTTTATCCTCTTTGGCACTCTTTCTTTTTATTATTCCTTGTTGAAAGTAGAATCTTCAGCTACTTATATAGCAGATTTCAGAGAACTAGTCGTTGGAATAGATAACTTAATCAAATGTCTTTGTTCTCTCTGTAGTATAAGAGACGTTGAGGATAGATACATAGAAGATATTGATCCATTGTGTAATTTGTTTAACCATAGCATTTTCAGAAGTATCATGTATTGTAGAGCCGTTGAGAGTGGTTATCCGTAAAGCATGTCAACTCTTCTTGAACCTTGTGAACATAGACTCTAGTTGACAAATTGATTTGACATTATAGCTTACTTTCTACAGTACGGATAGCTTCAGCTTCGCTATAACTTCTGAACAATCACCAGAAGGTAATATAATTACCAAGTGTAGATACAATGTGTTGTTTCTTCTGATGCTAAGGCCTTCAGCTTTAGAGTCTACGCTAGACATCACTTAGTAAATGTTCTTCAAATTCTAAATCATCAAAAAACATGTAACTCAGTTTCACTCAAGTGTGTCTTCATATCAGATTCTGAATATATCTTTTAAGTATAAGAACCTGCATACATGAGCACACATTAGATAACACCATTATTCTTTTAATACTTTTGTTATCATCAAAACTAAGGATATATGTCATGAACAAATATTGCTCTAACATAATATTATTCATTTTCTTTCGTTTACTTTTTCTCTTTTGTGATTTTTATTATTACTTTCATCAAATTATTATAATTGTTCTCCACTTTTAAATTATTTTTCGTATTTTTATTTTTTAATATAAATTATAATCGTTTTATTTTTTATTTTTATGTTTATTATGGTTCATTTTTTTTATTATCCTATTATATATTTTTATATCAAATTTTTAACCATTAATTTTATATTTTGTCGATTACATTATTATTATTATTATTATTATTATTATTATTATTATTATTATTATTATTATTATTATTATTATTATTATTATTATTATTATTATTATATAATTTATTTTATGTATTTTTTTATTAGATGGTTCATCACGACTGTTATCAAAATATAATTTAATTTGTGTTAGAGAATTATATTGTGAATCAAATGTATTCAATCTTTTTTAATATTATATAGTAAGTTATATATTTTTTAATCACTCAAAAATATAAACTTTGTGTTTAAAAGATTATTGAACCCAAAGGACCAAGAGTCGGTCTACCGCTATCTAATGATACTATGTAGGCTAATGAATTTCTAATTTTTGGGATGCGAAAAATAAAATAAGTTCCGAATTAAAATTCTAATTAAAATAAGATATTGCTAAATATCAGTATATAATCCTATCAATCATCGGGGTTCGGTAATTCGTGGATGTTAAGTTTTAAAAAGAAAGAATCGTTATTCTGTAGAAAATACTCATTTAAAAGCCCTTATCTCACACTCTCGTTCTCTTGACTTAGACTATGCTCTCAAATCAAATGAGGCTCTCGCTCTCTCATTTTGCAGTTAAAAATACTTTTTGGAAACAGATAAATCCTAATTAAACTCAAAGCGATCTCACTGTATTTAAGCTTAATGTTCAATTTCAGTTATCCAATTAAAACCTCAAACTCTGCCTCTATTGATTTTAACCTTCGTTACTTTCTCACTCTCGTGACAAAAGTTATTAATTTTGGTAAAAGAAACAAAGATCATAAACTTTTATTTCATTTAAATTCTACGTCACGATTTACTTAACCCCCTCCGACCGATCGTAATTACATACCGATACTAAGGGTATTATCAACGTGTTACTCCTTACTGAGATATACATTCAAGATGCATTATATAAAATAATATAAAATTTTGAAATACTACATTTTTTTATTATTATTATTATGATAATATAATACAATTCAGATCACATTATATATATCGAATAATTCAAAAACACGATTTGTTGGACAACTATAAATATTTAGTCAAAATCTCTCAATTTATAATCTTACTTGTTCAAACTAAGTTTGTAAATCAATTTCTCAGACTTCTTCTAATGAGTTGCGTCATGTGAAGAATATTCGGCAAGTTTAACTTGACATCCTAATTGTTCCTCGTCAAGTTTAGCAAGGTTTTATTTATTTAGTTATTCTTATCAATGTCACTTTAAGTGAGTAATCAATGTATACAACCTTGAGTTTGAGATATCTCAAGATGTCATCCTCTGATGCATTAGATAGGTTGATAAAATTAAGATGCACCATATCTACAACAATTAAAAACAAAGAGAATTAAATCAATCATTCAAAATGTATATTATATGCAATTTACGACAATTATGATGTTAAAATATAGTTTAATATAGTTATCACTCATACACGGTTGAAAAGAAAGAAATATTTTTTTAAAAGGCTTAAAGAAATAAAGGATTTATAAAATTGATTGTGCAATAAATGTGATGTTCTAGATAGTCACATTCAGATTATGTAATTTGATATTGGGATGTTATCTTCCAAGCTTATAAATTTCTTTCTCAAAAATATCATTACTGGTAAACAACACAGTGTTAATTGAGATGCACTCATAATAAGGTAAAGATATTTTACACGGTTAATTAATTATAATTATTAATTTATTTAAGTTGATATTTTATATTATCAGTTAATTACAATTGTTAATTTAATTTAAAATAATATATTTAAATAATTATGATACATTGATGTGAAAATTTTTACATTGATAATTCATATGTAAAATGATATAATAAGCACATTTTTAAAAAAAAATGATATAATAAGCAACGCAATACTCGTTCGTTATGCATCAATCGTTGAGGTATAAGTCAGTACAAAAAATAGTTATGATGAATGCACACTTTTTTTAGTGACTATATGGTACTTGAGGATTTTGGCATCATAATTGTTAATTGGTTTATGGATAGTGTTATTAAGTTACTCATTATTGTCTTTTCTGGATCGAGACTCCAAACCTCTTTAAAATTATTTTGGTGTTCCTTAAACCATCAGCCGAGTTTTCTACCGTAGGACCTGGCATCCTAATTATTCCCCATCAAGACCCATAATTCAAGTTTTGCAAGGTTTTATTTATTTAGTTATTCGTGTTACTGTCACGTTGAACGAGTAATCAGTACATAATTAACAAAGAATTTTATAATGAATATAATTATGCAATAATAATATAAATATTTGTTGAAGAGTAATTACAAGTATGAGTAGTGTAGATAATAGTCTTGAGTGAGAGTGTTGAAAAAGAATTACAAATGTGAGTAGTGTGGATAATAGTCTCACATTGGATATTAATGTGATGAGTTGAGCATTTATAAGTGAGAGAACTCACTCACCTATCACCTTAAGATTTTGGATGAATATGTGGCGTGTTTCTCACAAAGGTGTTTCTCTAAAAAAGAAGTCTCACGATGTTCAATGTTCCATAGTGAAGAAAAAAATCCAACATTGGTGGTATTGCAAGTAAAGAAATAGATGGTGGTCAAAAACCTCACAAAAGTCACATTCAGTGTTACAATTGTCAGAAGTATGATCATTATTTTAGTGATTATCCAAAAAAGACTAAGAACAAGAAACTGATGCAAAATTGGAAAAATATGAAAAAGAGATGTTGATGATCACAATAAGAGATGTTGAACTAAAGATGCTCATCACACATGACCGGTAGGAAAGATTGGTTTGCAAACATAAAGCCCTCAATAAAGAACATGGTGGAATTTGCAAATGACAATACTCTAGCAACTGAAGGTATTGGTGATGTTCTGATTATGAGAAAAAATGGCAAAAGGTCAGTAATTTCCAATGTATTGTACATACCAGGCGCTCATCACACATGACCGGTAGGAAAGATTGGTTTGCAAACATAAAGCCCTCAATAAAGAACATGGTGGAATTTGCAAATGACAATACTCTAGCAGCTGAAGGTATTGGTGATGTTCTGATTATGAGAAAAAATGGCAAAAGGTCAGTAATTTCCAATGTATTGTACATACCAGGCGTAAAGAGTAATTTGCTCAGCATGGGGTAGCTGGTCGAAAAGAACTACAAGGTGTCGATTGAAGACAAGATGATGAGAATTCTTGACTCAAATGAAAGGTTGATCTTGAAGGCTCCAATGGCTCAGAATAGAACCTTCAAGATTGAGCTTAATGTGATTGAGCATAAGTGCCTTGCAACTGCACCCAGCAGAGATGAATGGATATGGCATTATAGACTTGGACATCCCAATTTCAAAGACATTAGAGATTTGAAGAGAAGAAATATGGTTTCAGGATTACCAGAAATCGACATTCCAAGTGAAGTGTGTGACGAATATGTTTAGATGAAACAACACAAGAATAACTTCAGCAAGGATGTAAGAAGCAAGTCGAAGGCAATTCTTAAAGTCATATACTCTGATGTATGTGGTCATATCCAGGTGGATTTGATTGGAGGTAACAGATAATTTGTCACTTTCATAATGATTTCAGTCGAAAATTGTGGACTTACCTGATCAAGAAGAAAAGTGAAGTGGTCGAGGTATTTGTCAAGTTTAAATCTATGGTCAAAAGACAAAGTGTTCTAAAGCTCAAGATTCTGAGGACTGATGCTGGTGGATAGTATGTTTCGAAATTTTTTGATGCATTATGTGAGAAAGAAGGGATTATGCATGAGGTGGTGCCAAGCTACACTCCACAGCAAAATGAAACTGCATAAAGGAAAAATAGAATCATCATGAATATGATTAGAAACATGATGAAAGGCAAGCATCTACCCAAAGAGTTATGGGAAGAAACTGTGTCCACTGCAACATACATCTTGAACAGATGTCTGACGAAAAGGCTAGAAGGAATTACGTCAGAAAAATATTGGTCTGGTGTCAAGCCTAGCCTAATTAATTTGAAAGTCTTTGGATCTATAGCACATAGACATGTTCCAGATTAGTTGAGAAGAAAATTTAATGACAAGTCGAGTCAAATGATCCTAATAGGATATCATTCGACTGAAGAGTACAAATTGTTCGAACCAGTGAAGAAACAAGTCGTGATCAGCAGGGACGTGATCATAGATGAGGTTAAAGAATGAGATTAAATTGAGAATATTAAGAAGGATTCAATGAGAATCTTATGTGAAGAACCAGCTAGTGAAGTCAAAAGAGAAGTTCGACAAGAAAAAGTCAGAGGTGAAGCAGGTACAAGCAGACCTCAACGAATAAGACACATGAAGGTTGCAAGAATGTGTGATTACATCAGATGATGTGGTCAATGAAGAAGGTGAGTTGATACATATGCTTTCTATGCAGATGTTGAGCCAATCAATGCAGCTGATGCATTGTAAGATTCGAAATGGAAGAAAACAATGAATGAGGAACTAGAGTCCATTGAAGTCAACAACACTTGGTCACTGTCGAATTACCTCAAGGCAAAAAGACAATTGATGTGAAGTGGATTTACAAGGTGAAGTTAAATCCCAAAGGAGAAGTAACTCGACACAAGGCAAGACTTGTAGCAAAAGAACCTTCAGAAAGAAGGAATTGACTTCAACAAAGTTTTTGCACCCGTTGCTAGGATTGAAACAATCAGGTTGGTTGTTGACCTAACAAACATGAACAATTGGCACATATGTTAGATGGATGTAAAATGTGCATTCTCAAATGACCCCTTAGATGAAGAAGTTTATGTCACACAACCAACTGGATTTGTGAAATAAGGCGAAGAAAACAATGTATATAGGCTACACAAACCTCTGTATGGACTTAAGCAAGCTTCAAGAGCTTGGAATAAGAAGATAGATAATTTTTTAAGAGATAAAGAATTTGTGAAGTACACAACTAGACATAGAGTATATGTAAGGAAAAGTAATAGTGAATTGCTTATACTATTTCTTTATGTCGATGACCTGTTGATAACAAAAAATTGCAAGAAGGATGTCCCACCATTTAGAATGCTCCTTGTATCAAAAATATTCTCACAAATAATACGTTGAGTGCGCTATTAAAGAGTGTCAACAGCAGTACAAGTATATGTGAAAGCACGGACGGAGCCAGAAATTTTAAATAGTGGGAACAAGTTTTTATATAAAAATTTTCATTAAAAATATGTAACTTCTTTTGCCATTTTGAATATGATTCATAAAGATATTTATTGAAAAAAAATAAATATTTTAATATTTGTAGTTGAAATTATTTAACAATTAATAGTTACTCTAAAAAAAACTAAATTTACTACTTACTCCTAATTTAATAATATTGTTGTCCAAGAAAGTGACATATATTCAAAATAGCCATTTAAATGAAAACTATATATATTTAGTAGCATTTTAAAAGTAAGTGGGGGCATGTGTCTACACTTTGCTATTAGTGGCTTCGTCTCTGTTTGAAAGAAAGAGCTTAGTATGAGTCTACCACAATACTCCCTCTCAAATGTGAGTAGTATGTATAATAGTCTCACATTGAATAGGAATGTAGTGACTTAAGCATTTATAAATGATAAAACCCACTCACATATCACTTTAAAGTTTTGGATAAATATGTGGTATGTCTCTTACAAAGATGTTCCTTTAGAAATTAGTTTCACAATATTCAATGGTTTCTAGTGAAGAAAAAAAAAACCAACAATACTTGAGTTGGATTCTAAATTGTAAAAACAAGAACATCGTGCTAAAATTAAATACCAATAGTCTCTTGGTGGTTTAGTAAGATAATTTGAATTATCAGCCATGTTTTTGGTGTCAATGATTCCACACAAATTAAGGAGTTGATAGTATGGTTGTCCTTATCAGTTAACACTAGAGGTATGAATAAATATCCCCACGTATAGCTGTACACATTGTCGATTAACTTGTCAACTATATCATCTATGTTGGAAGGGTGAACAACACCTTAATGAATCATATGCTGAACCTATCACCTGTACTAACAAAAGGTCATTTAGCATGAACATAACCCTAATAAAACCTTATAATTTTCCTTTCTGAAACGTGACAATGACTGCTGTTAATTTACATTCTACAACAAGGTACGGAAAGTATATTTATTAGTGTATGTTAATAACTAAAGATCTCCAATTCAGCAGTTATCTTCACCCAAGTCGACACCTGTACTTTTTACAGTATCACCTCTACAGCAACTTTTAACTGCTCATCGCGTCTTTTCTGAACTTTTCTTCCCTGTTTGACCCTTCCATTTGCTCTGCGTCAAACATTCTCTCATGAGATTATAACAATTAATAGAAAACAAACAATATTCAAAGGCTTAGTTATTTACCAGAGGAGCGTCATCAGAAATATCAGCAATGTCGACGTCATCAGAACTTGATGGCTCTATATGTGATTTATTTGTTTCTCCAGGACTATCACCCACATTGCTGTTATCTTGATCCTCTTCGGACTCCGATTCTTCTTTGTCGTTAACATTTTCCCTCGAAGCTTCAGTTGATTCATCCGCATTCCTCTCGTCTGAGCCATATTGTGGGACACTCTCTTGATCTTCAGAACTCCTCTCACTATAGTCCTGTTTATCTTCATCTGATTCTCCCATATTACGAAAGTTCTTGACTTTCTTGAGCTTCTTTCTTCTGGAAACTGATCTCACTTTCTTGTTAGATTTCTTCCCCTTTGTTGTGATTTCATCGGACCCTGATGTCAGTTCCACTTCTGAGCCACCTTGAAATAAAAATTCATGATAAAAAGGGATACCACAACAACCAAGCATTATCCCACTAATTGGGGTCGGCTAAATGGATCAAATTCTGTTATAATGTTCTATCTGATATCATGTTTCTATCCAAGTGATTAATCTCGATATGGAAGAGATGAAACAAAAAATGTAGCACAAGTCATTGACGCAAATGGGGAAGCATAACCAATGCTAGAAGATATCATACGTGTAACATTCATTTCTAAACTGAATTAGCAATCTTTAGAGACGTGTTACCTGACATCTCATCAGCTTCGGAAGTCATGGTCTCTTCATGGTTTGATGACTCAGATGTCTCTTTGGCCTCCTCTTGATGGATATCACTTTTTGATGCATATTTTTTTCTAGGTTTTATAGGCTTGCTTGGAGATTGTTTATCATTAACTCTATAAGGAAGGCATACAAATTATAATGATTAGAACATAAAATAAAATCAACGATGTGTAGTAAATATCTTTGAGTGTTTCAACTCACATTTTCTTTTTCTTTTTACTTGGTGAACCATTATGTTTGCGCCCAAAACTACAGAACAATAAAGAACATTAGTCTGTGAAATGGAGATCGAATAAGACAAAATCAATTAGCCTGTTGAGGGAATACTTACGTTTCAAGTGATGACCGTTTTATCTTCTGATAAGAAATTAAAAAAAAGAAAATCAAATACTCTGATTTCATTTAAGCGTGATGGATATCTTCTAGTGGAAAATGAAAATGTACAATTACTTCAGAGAAAGTGGAGACCTTAGTAGATTTACGGCCCTTGTCCAAAAGCTTCCAGCGCTCCTTGTCCAATCGAAGTATTTCTACATCTCCATCATCATATAATATCTTTCACATAACATCAGTAATGTTTATCAGAATTGGAAATAACACGCAGATAGCAAGCAGGAAATCTTGGTGCCAAATTCAGAGGGGAAGTTCAGCATTATTCAGCTTACCACATGCTTCTTTTTTAAACAATCATGAGACTTGATAGTTCCTCCATAAAATCTGTAAAACATTGACACCAACATGAGAATTACATTTGAAAAATCAGTACAGACAAGAAAAAATAATTACGAATAACGAAAGTTCTATATAGGGTAGAAAGAAACATGTTAGGCAGAGTTCTATATAGGGTAGAAAGAAACATGGTAGGCGGAGTGCCAGATGCTAATTACAGTTTCAATTAGAATTTAACAGAAGTTAATGCAAGCAAATGCACCATGAAGAAATTGAGAAATAAACAAAATAAGAAAGTCATGTTCAGAAGAAGCACAGCAGAATTTGCAAGAAAGGTCGCCTTTAAAAATGTGCCTAAAATGCTTCCATCACTAAAAAAAACAACTGAATGATCGACATAAATAATTTATTTTGGTTCTGCAACTGCTCCCTGAAAATTTATCTTAATTACTTACTTCTTGTCCGCAGGCCACCAAATTTTGATTCTGCAACCAATTAGATCTTCAGGATCAATTTCACCTTTCTCCATTGTGCACTGTAGAGGGTAATGAATCAAACAACATGACCAATGGGACAGGAAGAAATGCAAATTATGACATACATAAAGTGGGAAAGCTTGTAAATAAACTTCACCTTTGTCAATCCTGCAGTACTTTTTCTTTTATTCTTCTTACTAAAACGTGTGGATGCCTTGGAATTATTACTTGTAGTCTTTTCACTTTGTTCCAAATCATCATGACTCTGCAGCCGAGAGAAAAAATAAGTAGAAGTCTACATTGACAACTTACATTCTATATTAGCACAAATTTAAGTGCAGGTAAGATTTGTACCTTCATGTCATATTCGTCATGTTTATTCGACTCATCACTATGATAGCTTTCAGAGCCCTTAACCTTTTGTTTTAATGAGGACACTAAGAAGTCTTTGAGCGTTATTTTCTGCATGTCACTATCTGTATCGGTGTTAATATCTGCATTCAACACTAATTTTGCTGGAGGGGAGTTTTCCCCTGATACTCTTCGAGATGCTGTAGTAGTTGACAATCTCAGTTTACCACGAGCAGAGGAAGGCCTACTACGTTTAGACAGTGGAGCAGGTGTTGTTTCACCGGTTTTTCTTTTTTGACCTGTAGCATTCTCTGGATCCTCCGATGTTTTCTTACTTAAAGAATGTTCATGACCATTACATTGTTCAACATTAGTAGGTGATCCCAAGTTGTCCAAGTTGATTTGTCTGGCCGTATTCAAGATAGAAAAATCATTTTCAACCTTTTCTGTTTCAGCTGGCACAGACTTAATCTTTTTCACCTTTTTGCCATTAATTCTCTTAGATTTTATTTGCTTCAACATCACTCCCAGAGGTATTTCGATTTCTTCATTATCCTTTGAAGCTTCATCCTCAGCTGACTGGGATTGAACCTTGACATAAAAAGAAGAATCACAAGGTTTTCAAAATTTTTAAAACCAAAGAAAGTTGTCAGATAACTATTCAGTTGCATGAAGCATACCATTTCTAGCTCAAGAGATTCAAAGTGAGCCAAGGCGGTATCGTCCACAACCCAGCTTTTCACTTCACTTACCTGCTAGATGAATTCAGTTGCATTAATTAAAGCCATCGGAGGTCTTATAGATGTTAAAAACAAGTAAATATTAATAATGTTCAACTTATTGCAAGAATACATCAACCAAAAGAAGACTAGTGCAACATATTCAGTTTTGGTTTACTCAAGGTAGATTGTTTTATATCACTGTTATTCAACCTGTGTCAACAATCAAGTACAAACCCAACTTCATTGCCTGTTCAGAAAAGCATCTAAACAAAACAACCCAAAGCACACTCATCAAGCAATTAAAATACAACACAAAACATAATTGGACGGAAATGTTTTTCCAAACCATCCTAGTGTATATAGCAGAGTTCAAGCACTAGAAAAATTTAATCAACTAAACAATCAGATAGCATTCGTTCAGCCAAAGTGACATGATTCTATAACTTAAATATGCAGAGACTCATAATGGCTCATCTAAATATAAAACTAGCATATCCAGATAAGATAAGATAATAATATGACGCAAGTAACACCGATGATATAAATTAATCTCAATTCAATAATATGTATCCTATCTAAGAATTAGAAACTTTTGGAAGGCATTTAATACAATATGAACAAGGATACTTAACATAAAAAAACCAAAAAAATAGCATACCATAGTGTCATCTCCTTCCTTCTTCTCAAATGCTTTGTATAGCATTGGAGGTAGAGACACCAAATGGGACAACTCTTGCAGATCAACATCCTTCTGCACTAACCGTTTAGTTATTGCCATCCCAAGGTCACATATTGCATGATTAGTCTGGAAATGCATTGACCACAGATGTAAGTTATAATCTATTACAATTTGCAATATTTAACTACTTAAAAGTAATAACAAATTACACTCAACCTTTGTCTTTGATGTGTCAACCGTATCTTCGGAGAGTTTGATACTCTTAAAGATTGAAGCGATAGTAGATATAATTTCTTTCTCTTTCTTGGTGGTTACTTCTGATTTGGCACCTTCATCTCGTTGAAGTAATATTGACAGCATCAAGTGCAACTGCCTAAAATTCAAAACAGAATATATATTCAGAAACAATGAGCATGTGGCATTCTTCAAATCTTTCAAATTCAAACTAATGAGAACCAATATTAGCATCATATACTTTTATATAAGTCATAGAATCAAAGTAAACTAAATCTCCTTTATCCTTTCTGTTCCTGGTTAATCGTTTTCTTTATTTAGAGTCTTTTCATTTCCTTTTTGATGAGTGTCTAAATATGGAATTAGCATTGAGATATTTTAAGTGAGTAATATAGTACCGGTATATATTATCATATGCTCCAACATCCTTGCACTCCTCGACACTGGGACATGAGTTATGAGCAAGTGTATGAACGAGGTATGGAAGAATGTATTCTGGGTAAATGGTCAAAGAACTCGCATCTGATTGCACTGGAATTTGCCGTGTCTTCGCCTGGTAGTGCATTTGAACAATGTCTGCCAGATTCTGTTTAGCCTGCGTAAACAAAGAGGAGTCATAACAAAAACTCAAAATTAATGTCAAATGTTGGAAAATATTTTATTTATATATTTAATTGTTTACGTTTATTTTTATTTTTTTTCTTTTATTCTCCATTAAGGAGAGGATTAAGTATTTTTATTGTATTCTCATTATATAAACCAAACTTTGCCTGAAGAATAAAATTATATTTAGTTTTTATATATTTTTTTCAATATGGTATCGAGAGCTCTAGGTTAGGGTTACCATAAAGCTTTCTACAACTAGTGATTTCTGTTCGACCCGCTTTTTTACCCGATCCGATTCACATGCCCGTTTAACCTCTTATGGTGAATAACAACGGCGGTGACCGCAGCAACGGAGGCGACCGCGGAAACGGCGTTGGTTGTGGAAATGGCAAACAAGAGGAACCGTCTGTGGTCACAAATAGTGGCAATAATGACGGCAATAATTAAGACATTAACATTGTTTTTGGCAGTAATAACGGCAACAATGGAAACAGGAACATTGTCTTTGGTGATAGTTATTCTAACATAGGCGATAATGATCAAGAGGGTTCCTCATACTCCCTCAAGGTCAATATCCCTAAACTGAATGGGAATAACTATAATGAATGGGCTCAAACCGTTCGGTTGGTGTTGGATAGCAAAGGGAAACTTGGTTTCTTAACAGGAGCAGTAGCTGAACCGGCATCAGGACATCCTCGTTACAAACAATGGAAATCTGAAAACTCTTTGATTATTACGTGGCTGGTAAGCTCCATGGAAACTGGAATCGGCAAGTCTTACATGTTTTTGCCTTCCGCAAGGGATGTGTGGGAAACTGTTAAGGAAATATACTCTGATATTCAAAACTCCTCCCAAATTTTTGGTTTAAAATCAAAGTTATGGCATGCAAAACAAGGTGACAGGATTGTAACTGTTTATTACAATGAGCTGTTGACACTGTGGCAAGAGTTGGATCTTTGTTATGATGACAATTGGAGGTGTGCAGAAGACACTGTTTTGTTTCTCAAGAGACAAGAAAATGATCGTGTATTCATGTTTCTCCCTAGGCTCAATAAAGACCTTGATGAGGTGAGAGGTAGAGTTTTAGGAAAAATACCATTGTCAACTTTTCGTGAAACTTTTGCAGAAATAAGAAGGGCGGAGGCACAACAAGGAATTATGATGGGCAAGACACCACGAAGCTCTGAATTTAAAGGTTCAGCTCTGGCTACTAGGAACTTTGACGAGAGAAGAAGGTCAGATAAAGTTCCTTGGTGTGATCACTGCAAGCGCGAATGACGTACACGTGAAACCTGTTGGAAGCTCAAAGTCAAACCTCCGAACCGGAAGAAGAAAGGTGGTCGTGCATTTCAGGCTAGTAATTTTGATCAAGGGCAGCAATCCCCTACAACTCATCTTCCATTTACTATGGAACAACTAGACAGACTGTACAAACTCCTCGAGTCTCCAACCCCTTCTTGCTCTATAGTAACAAAAGATAATTCTGCACTTCTTAGTGTCAATCCCAGTCATACTCGAATAGTAGATTCAGGTGCCTCTGATCACATGACAGGTGAATCTACTTTGTTCTCTTCGTATAGTCCATGTGCAGGTAATCAAAAAATAAAAATTGCAGATGGCTCTTTTTCAACCATTGCAGGTAAAGGGTCAGTTGTGTTGTCTCCAATATTAACTCTTAAAAATGTCCTTCATGTTCCAAACTTATCGTGTAATTTAATGTCCGTCAGTAAATTAGCCCAAGATATAAATTGTCAAACTAATTTTTTCCGATCTCACAATGTCTTTCAGGATTTGAACTCAGGGAAGATGATTGGCAGTGCTAAGGAGAGTGGAGGACTCTACTACCTTGACATTGGATCTGCATCACAACTATCTTTAACAATAAGTTTTTGCTTTGAGTCTTTTTCTGTTTTGAATAATAAAGATGACAACATTATGGTATGGCATTTAAGATTAGGTCATCCTAGTTTTCGTTACTTAAAACACTTGTTTCCAAAGTTATTTCACAATAATAATTTTTCTTCGTTTAAATGCAAAGCATGTGAGTTTGCAAAGCATCATCGTTCCCAATTTTAAATACAGCCTTATAAACCATCAAAACTGTTTTCTATTATTCACGGTGATGTTTGAGACCCTAACCGTACTAGTACACTCTCAAAAAATGGTTTATCACATTTATAGATGACCATACAAGAGTATGTTGGGTGTACTTGTTAAAGGGGAAATCAGATGTTTGTCAGGCTGTAAAGAATTTTTTTTCAATGGTGCAGAACCAATTTCAAACAAATATCCAAGTTTTTAGAAGTGATAATAGGCAAAAAAATATTTTAACACTATCCTGGATGATTTTTTTCGAAAAAATGGGATTGTACATCAAAGTTCATGTCCTAATACTCCTCAACAAAATGGAGTGGCCGAAAGGAAAAATAGACATTTATTGGAGGTTGCTAGACTCTACTTTTTTCAAATAAAGTACCAAATTATTTGTGGGGCGAAGCTGTTTTAATAGCTGCGTATTTAATTAACAGAATGCCCTCCAAAATTCTCAATTTTCAAACTCCAATTAATGCCTTCAAAGAATGTTTTCCTAATACTCGTGTTTTAACTGATTTGACTTTAAAAATCTTTGGTTGCACAGCTTTTGTTCATGAACATAAAAATGCTGGAAAACTTGAGCCACGTGCTATAAAATGTGTCTTTGTTGGATACTCCTCAACCCAAAAAGGATATAAATGTTTTGATTCAAAAAACAAGAAAATGTTTGTCACTATGGATGTTACATTTTTTGAAAATAAACCTTTCTCTGATGACACTCATCTTCAAGGGGGGAGATAAAGGAAGACTCGTTTCAAATTGAGGACATGAGTTTTTTGAAAAATTACATCTGCACCAACAGAAAATGACCATGATTTTGTATCTGATCCTACTCATATTATGAGTAAGGAGCCTTGTGAATCTGAGCCTACATTTTCTCTTGTAGAAAACAATGAGAATTCTGAAAACGATGATAATGATAATCTAATTGAAATGCCACAAAATAATGAGTCACTTCAAGAAAACATATTCGAATTAGGAAACAGGACTTGGAAAGAGAAGGTTTTTATGAAAAAGCACCATAAACGAAGGGACGAGCCCACATCTCAACACTGTCAAAAATCTGAACTGGGGAATGATCAACCTCCCAACAAAAGGAAAGGTAAGTCTATCTCAGTTTCCGAGAGTCGTATTTTGTATCCTGATATAGATGATCCTGTTGCCATTAGAAAACCCGACAGATCTTGCACTAAACACCCCATGTCCAATTTTATTTCATTTTCAAATTTGTCTTCATCTATGTCTGCCTTCACCTCAACATTGTCTAGTGTAGAAATTCCAAAAAGTGTAAAGGTTGCTCTAGAAACTCCAAAGTGGAGGGAAGTTGTACTTGAGGAGATGAAAGCTCTTGAAAAGAACAAAACTCGAAGTGTTACGTCGCTACCAGATGGCACGAAGACAGTTGGATGCAAATGGGTGTTTGTTGTGAAGTATAATTCAAATGGGTCAATTGAAAGGTACAAGGCTCGCTTGGTGGCTAAAGGCTTCACTCAGACCTATGGTATAGACTACTCAGAAACATTTGCTCATGTTGCAAAATTGAACACTATAAGAATTCTTTTATCTCTTGCTGCTAACCTGGATTGGCCCCTACATCAGTTAGATGTTAAGAACGCCTTTCTTAATAGTGATCTAGAATAAGAAGTATATATGGACATTCCTCCTGGTTTTGAAAACAAATTTGGATCAAATGTACGCAAACTAAATAAGTCTTTGTATGGATTAAAGCAGTCTCCCAGAGCTTGGTTTGAAAAATTCACTCAGTTCATGAAGAATCAAGGGTACATTCAAGGACAGGCTGACCACACCTTGTTCACAAAATTCTCCAACGATGGGAAAGTTGTTGTTCTGATTGTTTATGTTGATGATATTGTCCTTACTGGAGAAGATACAGTGGAAATGGCAAGGGTAAAAGAGAAATTGGCAGTAGACTTTGAAATCAAAGACTTGGGATTCATGAGATATTTTCTAGGCATGGAGGTTGCTCTGTCAAAGAATGGTATTGCGGTTTCACAGTAGAAATACATTCTAGACTTGTTGAAAGAAACATGAATGACTGGATATCGTCCTGCAGATACCCCTATGGATCCTAATGCTAAACTTTAGGGAGAAGGTAATGTTCCTGTTGATACTGGAAGATATCAGAGATTGGTTGGAAAACTGATTTATTTGTCACACACCCGACCTGATATTGCTTTCTCAATCAGTGTAGTGAGTCGGTTTATGCATTCTCCTTTCGAAGAACATCTTGATGCAGTCTATAGGATACTTATATATCTGAAGGGAAATCTTGGAAAAGGATTATTTTTTAAAAAGACTAGTGAAAGGAATGCGTCTGTCTTCACCGATGTTGATTGGGCAGGTTCAGTCACCGATAGAAGATCAACCTCTGGATACTGTACCTATGTTTGGGGTAATCTTGTGACATGGAGTAGCAAGAAACAAGGCGTTGTAGCAAAGAGTAGTGCAGAAGCCGAGTTTAGAGCTACGTCTCAAGGTATTTGTGAAGGATTATGGATCCTTAGAGTCTTAGAAGAACTTAAGATGAAAGTTGAGCTTCCATTGAAATTGTATTCTGCCAATAAAGCTGCTATTAGCATAACTCATAATCCAGCTCAACATGACAGAACCAAACATATTGAGATTGATCGACACTTCATAAAGGAGAAGTTAGATGCTGGAATCATATGTCTACCTTTCGTGACTTCAAATCACCAATCTGCGAATATCCTGACCAAAAGTTTGACAAGACCTACCTTTGATCATTTGATAGACAAGTTGGGCATGATAGATATCTATGCACCAACTTGAAAGGGTGTTGGAAAATATTTTATTTCCATATTTAATTGTTTACGTTTATTGTCATTTATTTTCTTTTATTCTCCATTAAAGAGAGAATTAAGTATTTTTATTGTATTCTCATTATATAAATCAGCCTTTGTCTGAGGAATAAAATTACAACAGCTTTTATCTATTTTTTCCAATATCAAAGAACAGGAAAATTTCAATTGCGAAGATGACGGCATATCACCAACGCACCTCTGCAAATTCATGTGGCTTGGATCCAAATATGTTGAACAAGAAAGCACATGCATATTTGGCATCCAAAAGGCGGTCTTTAACATATTGATGAACTTTGTTTAAAAAAAACTTCTTAGCTTGAGGATAGCTTATCTGCAAACTCAAAAGCAGACAATGCAATTCATTTATATTAACATTGAAATGAAAATCTCATCAAACTGATTTCTTCTTTTACATATAAATAGAAGTCTTCTATCATGATAATAATGTGGTGAGAAATTATAAATGCTCAAGAAATTTTTATAAAAAGAAACCTACCTCAGATACCCTTAAAGTTAAGTAGAAAAGATCAACGGGTATCTTTTGATCCCAAACCCTTGACAAACGAATAACAGCCTTTGCGGAAGCAAGCCTCAAATGGGCCTTATCAACTGGACTGCAAGCAAGCATATATGAGCACATTGTAAGAACCGACAATAAAAAATGTAACTCTGAAGTTTATATACCTTGATTGTAGGTCTTTTGATATTTCACCATAAGATAGCATCTTCCTCAGGATATCCAGAAGACTCTCAATATCAAGACGAACATGAGCATCATTGAAAGGCAGGTAGCTCTTTACTAAGGTTTTAATACCAAATATCTGCAGCAAATAACAAAAAAGATGGAGCACATGGAGAAACAGAATGCAATGTCAAATAAGCAGCCAACTCAAGCATTTTGCAATTGTACCTACGGAAAAAATAGAGAACAAAAAGTGTATCCTAAATATCTTAAACAAAAGAGAGCACTTCCTACAAACCTTCAACATACAAAGATCGCTTTTATCACCCCAAGAAGTTCTAGTGTGATCATTCTGAAATGGAGAAGCATGCATTCAGATTAATATCAAATATTTCTATGTTAATTTTATAAACGAGCACACCATTCAAAGGGACTTAAAATGCTTACACCGTCGCTTTTCAGAATCTTGTTTATTATAAATTCTTTAATCTCATTTTCTCTAGTTTCAAACACGGGCATTGCAGTCTGCGCTATACACCCCAGGGACTGCAGTACTGCGGGCAGGTGTGTTTTTTCTTCTAGCATACCTACAAGTTTCTGTATAGATGATAAAAATTAGAGTAGAAAGGGGGGAAAAGAGTGTGCTTAAAATAAATGAATCAACTATAGAAACCTTGTATAAAACAGAAAGAGACTTGAGGCCGTCGTCCTTTGTTATCGCAGCCAATGCATGGACAGCATACTTTGCCTGCCTCCGACTGCCTTCTAAACATAATGTCTCCAACATAAGGTCTACCGAACTACATAAAACAAGACATAGTAAGAAAATTGCACAGGGAAATGTATTTAAAGGTTAAAACATTTAAAAGCAGCACCTTGACTTTACTGAAAGTTGTTTACGAATAGTAGCACCGGCCTTAGCTAAAGTATTTAGAGCACCTACTTTAATAATATCATTGTTATCCTTCAGTAGATTCACCAGTTCCTCCTCACTGCCATTAAGAAGCAATGGACAGAAACGAGCAATTATCTGCAGTTTATTACAAGTTAATTTTAAGGACGAAAAAGATTGTTCTTTTAAATTCTAGATTCCCGTGCCCACAATGATCCAAACCACACCACAACTTCATAGCAGAAATAAATAAGAATGAAGTTATCAAAGAAGGATACTGGAAAATTAAAAGCATCCAAGATCTAAATTCATGACAATGGCACCTAAAAACTATTCTTTAACCTTCTCCTATCAGCTTAGCCATTTAGGGCTCCTATCATACATATCAAACAGACCCTTAGAATATCCTAGTTTCTTTTGATGAATCAAGTATTATCCTAGCATACATATAAAAGTAAGTTACTTGTATTCAAATAAAAATATATAGGGACCAAATGTTCAAAAGTTTGATCCATGTCACTTGCCATTCTCAATTCAAATAAATTTTCAGGGGGCACGTGCTCTGTTCAGACTTTACATTTAAGGATTTCACTAGAGGGTCTGTATTAGAAATATATATAAATCATTTCTGACCTTTCTCCTAACAGTTTAAGTTTTGGGGATAAATCAGCAGTTATCATACACAATCATCCTAAGCCCGCGTATATCAATTAATCAGATCATGCAATGACATAAAGCACGATTTGCAACATTACTAGAAAAAGCTGGAAACTATTTATTTATTATTTGTGCCAGGAGTCATGGATAAACTGGTAACAAACCACGTGCAACAGTCCAGGACCCTAAAAATGACATGCTCTTACCACCAATAAATTCATACAAGACTGTGTACGCTGAGCATTCTCTGCAGATTTTTGAGCTGCTATTTGTACAAAAGTTTCTTCTACATGCTCCTTGTTGAAAAGCAAGTAGGAGCACTTCATAGAGAATGTATTCAGAAATTCATAGAGACGGTGTTTTACGCCAAGTATTGTAAGCAAATCATCCTGCAGACAAAAAATAAATAAACAAAATTGATCAAAATCAGCAAATATCAAAGTCCAATGTACACATTCTTTCTTTAACTAGTAACTATGATATTTATTTTAAAAAACACATGATAACAACAAGGCTAACATTTAGATGTTGAAACTTGTGATACTGTTCCTTAGTATAGAGTCTAGATCCCTCACAGTCATGATCTGTTTGAAATTTTAGCACTGAATATATGCAGTTCATCTTACTGACACCTGGAAATAATGTTCATAACGGCGACAGGAAAGTATATCCAGAGACAGATGTAGTGGTCTCAAATTCTGAAGCTCGTTGAAATGTTGGTGTTAATTATAGTTTAAGCTGGTTGCCAGTTCAGTAGTTAATAAAGTAGTGCAGGTTTGTGCTAAGATTATAATGTTAACAATATAATACTGGCAAAGAGAAAGAATAGCTAAACAAATTCATAGCCAAAAAAGCAAGTGCAGATGGCAATTAATGATAGTGCTGCGAAAGGGTTAAAATCAGAAATAAATTTATAAAAAAATAGAAGAAAGTAAGCACCCTTATTCAAGAAATGTTTGTACATATATCACACAGGAATCGAGCATCGGGTTCAAAGATTTAGCTCACATATTCACTTCAAAGACTAACATCTATACAGTTTGTAGCCATGGTTGTTAAGAGTTCGACATAAGACAATATATAGCTTGGAAATATGTTCATAAATGGTGCAATCTTCACCTTACAAGTCGGTTTTGTAGGGTTGAGTTAGGCTCAACCCAAATTCTAAGATGGTATCAGAGTCTGGTTCAAGATCTGATGGGCCGCCTGTTATTAGATTTCCGCTATCGGGTTATCCACCATTTACATCCACGCACCAAACCAAATAGTGTTGGGCGTGAGGGGGTGTGAAGAGTCCCACATGAGATAATATATGGCCTGGAAATTGTAAGCCGGTTTTGTAAGGTTGAGTTAGGCTCAACCCAAATTCTAAGAATGATTATCCAAAATATGCATTCCTGAAAAAAATAACTATCAATCACTAATTATGTTACCCGATAGGAGCGTGCTTGATGGAGGCTAGTATTTGGATCAACAAGATTTGCCAAAATCTTCCAAATATTAGCATCTTTTAATTGATCGAGAATCTGGAAACTCTCTTCAGCCTTTATGGGGTCAGCAAACGAATGCGACATTACTTTGAAACAGAAAATAATCTTTTTTTGGACCTCAGGAACATCTTTTTCCTGCATTTAAATAAGAATCAATTCCATTTTGTCATCGAATTTCAAATGATATGTTCATCTTTTCCAACTTTCAAAGTCACATACCTGATGCATATGCCTCAGAGACAGATACTTAAGCATCTCTTGCTGTAACCTGATACCAAAGAAATACCAAACAAATGAAACATTTTTTGCTTAATGATATTAAGAAACCAGACAAGTCAACCAAGCTTACCTTTGTTTCTGCTCTAACATCTTTTCAAGAGCCTTGACCTCCACTTTATCAAATCCAGAGAAAATCCCAACCCAATGTTTAACAATATCACTAATTGAAAACTCAACTGGAAATAGGGATCCACATAAAATAGATTCAATTATATCAGATCTGCATAATGAAATGAATGGGAAAAAAGCATATGATTAGAAAGCTTATAACATGAAAACGTATAAATGAAAAGTTGAAAATCAAACCAAAAAGGAAACATAAAGAAACAAACTCGCGAGAAAACAATTCTATCGTTAAAACTTAAAACAATATTCACCATCAGTGTGTCCAACTCATCCTACTTTAGTAGAAAAGTAAGTGGAAACTGGAAAAGGTTATTCTATTAAGAGAAAAAAAAATAAGTCAAAGCAGCAGAACTAAAAAAAGGTTTAAAAAATTTCAATTGGTCATTATTGCCAACACAAAAGCCAATATATGATGATTGTGACGTAAAAAATGGCAAAGATGTTAAAGAATTTAGCCCAAGCGTTTCACCTGAAATCTTTGTCATAGAAACATCTAATGATCTTCCCAGGAATCCAGTAATATTCATTGAGATTGGCTATGTCACAGCTTTTCTCACAATAAACTCTATACACTTCAGCCAACCTCTCCATAGTATACTTTTTAACAAGTAGCTGCAAATGTAAAGTAAAAAAGGGAAATGAGACACCATAGTCAAAATCAACAAACAGACTTATCATGAAAATATAAATATATAAATAACAAAATTTAGATATACATACAGATTTATCGCGAAGACGATCTGCTACAAGTTTCACCGTTTCAAGTGGAATTGCATTTAGGGCATGACATGCCACATCACATATAACAGTCACAACACGCTTTCGAACATTTTCATCAAAATCCATCAGCCGTTCGCAAAGGGCAGCTAAGTTCAACTCAAATAAAATCAGCAGATACAATCTAAAGATTAAAAAATAATACTGACTGATTTTCCTTGTTACATGCACTCACATAATATTTGAGAAGCTTCGGCTCTAAAAGGATTCAACAGCAGACAGTTCTTTACATGCTCAAGGGCAGACATGCGAACCTCAACAACTCTATCAGACAACCTCTTTAAGAATTCTGAAAACATAGGCTGAAATGCTTCAGGAATGGAAGTTCCGGGAATAGAAATCATATCGCCAACCAGGTTCATTGCTTTCAAACGGGTTTCCAACTGGTTAGTCTACGAATTTGCAAACAAGTAAAAAACCAGACATCAAATAAGAACAAAAAGTATAATTAACCAAACTCAAAAAAATTAACGAGGATAAATAGGCCGAAATGACTGTATTAAAACTTCACACATTTCAAAACTCGGAATTTCTACAAAGCATAAATATATTAATAAAAATAATGTGGCCATAAGGTTATAACGGGGAAGATACATGGAATTGCTCAAAGCCAATAAAACACCAATTACCAATAGCTCTCCGGTCACATAAGGGAGAACTCCAAATAGGATCTGAGGGGCACAACAATACAGATCATAGATAATTCCATGGTATTCAATGTGATTGTTCACTAGCTTTCTATCTCCAGACATTAACGATAGCAAAAGTTGTTTGATGCTGGGTTCGAGTCTTCCCATGCATTGCTTTATGACATTCATGGCAAGTCTTCTTGCAGCCATAGTAACATCCTGGAATTAAAATTACAAAAATAAAGTTTCTTAAATAATAATAGAACCTATCTGCCTTCATCAGGAAAAAAATTAGAAGTTATAAATGTACATACTTTATTTCCACGGCCTAATGTAGAGAGTAAAATAGATAACAGATCCTCGCGAACATCCTCACTCTCTTCTAAGAGAACCACCATTATAGTTTGCATGGATGACAGGACACTTTCTGGATGATCATCTCTAAGCATGAAACAAAATATATGGGCAGCACTGATTAATCCAAAGAGGATTTTTTACCAAAAATAAGCATAGAAAATTTGGCCTGCAAGAAAATGGCTAGGAAATATCTTCTTAGCTCTCATTTTATTGTCGAACAGTTTAAAGTTTCAACAATGATAATCAAGCCTTCGTCCCACTAGCTGGAGACTGAATATAGCAATACATTACTTTGTTTTTTTTAAATAAATAGCAACATTACTTATTTCTCCAAAACATCACATTCCAACTAAGCAAAGATGTATATTTTGTCTAATTATCTATATTTCATTTATGATTAATTATATGACCAGGTAAAAGAAAATAGTAACTAGAAGAAAAAAATCAAGATGCCGAGTTTGTAACGCTGAAAGTGAATAGCAGAAACTTTCAAAGAACGCGTATTTATGAGTTATTAACAATAGCACACAAATAACAATAGATTATAGGCTTTTATGATAAACAAACCTGGCAACTGCAACAAAAGTACTGAATATTTCATAGACCAAATCATCACATTCAAGGTCCAACATCACAACACACGACCTATACTTTGCAAGAGTCTCCAATATAACAACTCTCCGTCCAAATGATAGACCACTAGTATCACTTAGACCACTAAAAGTGCTCACAGTCAATCGGAAGGTATCCTGCAAGGAGATGTAACATAGATTAGGACAAAGGATAATCATAAACAATGTTCCAACATTTATTTGGCGTAAACCAAAAGGGGAACAATTTCCCTTTAAAATTGTGAATAAGAAAATGAATTATAAGTAGATAGTCTAAGTAAAAGAAAGGCACCTTTAAAATTTCATCATTATAAGGAGCTTCAGGTGCGGTGATCCGAGTTATCTCACTAATACATGTTGCAACCAGAAGTCTGACATCTTTATCTTGGTGCTTCAGAAGTGCTGGCTTAACAATCGCATTAAAAAAGGGATTCATTGAATCCCGTGTTGTAGTCAAAGGTGATTGATCCAACTCCGCAAGGCATGTGGTTGCTTGCTGCATAAGAAAAAACAATTTGAACGGAGGGGAGCTAATAGATGCCAAACAAAAAAAAGAAGAAAAAAAACACTAGCTTTCTAACAAACTCATTTCACAATACTAAGAGTCAGTTTGGATAAACTCTCCACAAATACCTAAGGAAAACTATATATTAAAAAATCTTAAATAACTGTGCATTTATTTTAGGTAATAGCTTCTTATATATTAACCAAAATTAGCCGCTGCATCTCAATTCTTTCAAAAACTCCCTCATTTAACTACTCGATAAACACCTATAAACATATATGGACTTTTTCATAAGTAATGAACATAAAATTCATTTTAATTGAGAATCTCTCATAACTAGTAGTCAATCCAAGCGAGGCCTATTTCCATAGAAAAAACCAATCCCTCTTTCATAAACTACCATTCAATTCCATCTTCAATCCCTCATTCCCAATCATTCCTTTCTACTTTGACTTCTTTCCTTCTACTCAATAACAGACACAATACATACCAATTTCAATTTTTAATAGGCGTATCTATCAATTCCCGTTCAAATCTAAACTACACCAAACAATAACTACAAAGCCCAATTTTACAATTTCTCCTTGTGTCAACAACATACACTTGAAATCCACCTCCACGACGAAAACAGAATTAACCTAACTCAGAATTCTTCTTAAGCTTGCTCTAAATCAACACAAATCTCACCTCTACAAGTATGGTAATAAATCTACTAATAGTTATTACCAATTCCAGAAAGACCTACTAACAATCTAACATAAACAACTAACATCAACTGTTCTAGCTTTTAAACCAACCCTACCGAATTTATGACATTAAAGCTAAATCCAATTTTCCTACAAAATCAAAATTGCCGCATAATTATCACTATCGTTCTTCTTCTATAACCTTAAGCTATGAATCAAACAAACGATATAACCAACACAAAACCGTTGAACTATTTTCAATTGAAAGGAAAAATGGAAAAACCTTTAAGAGCTTGATGAGAGCGTCTTTGGAAGATGGAACGGTATCGAGCTTGGATCCTAGCTCCTTCAGTTGCAGGTAACCCTTTTCAGCCATGATTACTCACTCTCGGTCAAACGATGTCGTTTCACTGCTATTACATGGAGTTTCACTGGAAGAGAATGGAGAAAGATGAGAACGAAGAGAGTGAATTGAAACTGAAATTGAAATTATAAGAAGAAAAAAGGAAGAGGGTTTGTGTTACGTTTTTGTTCTTTTCACTCGTCTTTTCGTATTTCGAACACCAACCGAAGTTTACTCTAAATTCTCATTATCAAATATTTCAAGTGCTTTTTTTTCGTAGATAAAAATACGATATATTTTCTGAAATTAAATTTCTTTTTTTTTGTCAATGTTAATGCCGCTCTTTTTATGATACTTTTGGATCTTTCCTTTTTCTTTTTTTCTGTATTTGGATTTGTTGATTTAATAACCAGCTGTTATTTTGCATTGTTTAGTTTAATTTATGTGATGTAATGTGGCCTTTTTAGTAATTTAGTACAAGTAATGAAAGCGAATCCTTTTTTTTCATTCTAGAAGTAGATTAATCCACGAATTCTTTAATGAAGCAAACATTTTAAATTCCTTTGGGTTGCTGAATAGATTTTTGTACTCTTAGATTATTTCTAGATTCCTAAAACTCATTATGTGTATTATAAATTATTTTTAATATGTTTCATGAAAAAATATTTTGTTTTAGTTATATAATATGGTTATTAAGAAAAAATTAATTGGATTAATTTTAATAATAAATTTGTTATAAACCATATAATTATGTATCTTTATTAATTAGTGATTTTTATATTGATTCTTTATTTATTATTTATTATGTGTAATATAAATACAAATATGATGTATATTGTGTTCCAATATAGAATTTGATGAAACATTGAGATGGATTGTGAAAACAATACAGAATTTGATGAAACATTGAGATTGATTGTGAAAAGATGCATTGGACTTCCAATGTGACGGCATGAAGGTGGATCTTTAAGTTTAGTGGTCTAATATTAAGTCAATGAAGTATCTAAATAATGTGAAAGTGAGAATGGATCTTTATACTTGAGAATAGTGTGATTTTTTCTTTATATACCATGAGTGGTTAAAACCTTTTGCGGGGGACGCGATGTGCTATGCAGACAGTTATCTGATTGATCTAGATGGTGGATGATGCATCTGATGACGGACTTATCTACTTTTGGTGAGAACGAGAGAACAATTGTTTCTTGCGTTTGCTTTTGTCACTCTTATAGTAGCCCCTTGTAGACAATTTAGAACAGTTGCCCCCAAACCATTGTATTTGCTTTACATGATAAGGGTTTTGTTGTATACATTCCTAGATCGGATGTTGGTCGAGGTAAGTAAAGAGTCTTGATGGGACATCACTGTTGGCGTTAAGAATAGATGCAATATATGACATTTTCTAAGAAGGTCTCAACATGCGTACCTAACTTGTCAATAATGATTTCCCTTTTGTCTTAGGACACTCAATTGTGTTGGTCGATTTTTCGAGAGAATCTGGATCTTTGGTGGCGTATTTCTTGCTTTCCAATGTAAGAAATTGTGTGGCTCGTCACATCGGGAATACACATTAGGATCTTCCAACTTGTCATTTTCCTTCTTTCGCCACTTATGGAATTTAGGAAACCTTTCCTCTTCTTTTTCTTTGCTTGTAGCTTTCTCATTTGATGTCAAATTTTCTACGTGAGTCATTGTTTCAAGTCTATTTGCATCTTTTCTTTAGCATATGAATCTCTACCTCTTTTTTTAAGGTAATACTCGAGTTTTCCCTCTTTTCTATTGTTGTCTCTCTTCGCTAGGGTTTCAGACATTTTTGCCATGTCTTCAATTAATTTTCTCGCCATGAGTGTACTTTGAAATGAAATGTAGGTATTAAATTTGAACTTGTTTTAAGCTTCTTATTTGATATTGTTCTTGCTTTTGGTAGAGTCCATTGTTATGAAAGTAGCCCCCAAGCATGATTCGGAAAGCAAAATGATATATTTTAACATATTGGGTAGATTAAGAGACGTTGGATATTGCTTTTACCTTTGCTAACTAGATGGTCTAGACCATGCTTTTACCAAAGTGGAGTCTTCATCATATTTGGGGTGTCCCCTCGAATGAAGATAAGTGGATATGTAATAAATATGACATATGTTTCATTCCATTTTATGACTGTTTGTTCTCATTAATAAGCTTTTGCCTTCCTTTCAATGACTTTAAGGCAGGCGTCCTGAACAACTTGATAATTGATATTTCGAAAATACACCGACTGATATAGGTGTATGTCAAGGTCTTCCAACAATGGTGTGAATACAAAAAATGTTTGTCGACCTTGGGGCTCTTTTTGCATCTCTTCAAGGCTCAACGTACCTCAGCTCATCACGTGCGAAGTCAAGGCTTAATTTCTCTAAGGCAAAGTACTAGGTATTTTGAGGCCTACTCGAATAGTGTGAGGTATTTTAAGGATGGACATTTCATGGTCACTCCTCTTAATATAGAAGTTCATGCAAAGATATGCAAAATAGATGCCAGGATACCATATACGTGTACGAACATATTTTCTAATTTTTGGCGCCATAGTCATTTCTTTGTGGAGTCCAAATCTTATGTTTATATTATGAGTGAAAAACAAACATGACTGCTCCGTTTAGGCTCGCCCCATAAAAAAAATGGGTGAGGTAGGCATTATTGAGGGTGCGAATATAATACATTGACTCGTCCCAAAAAAAAATTATGATGGGGTGGGGAGGCCCGCTAGCAGTGCACCTTTTAAGCCTAAAAGTTGCAAAGTTTATGTTAATTCCCATGCCGGAAAAAAAAATATGGGGTGAGCATGTTAAAGGGTGCAAGCCTAAAACCTTGGTCTCACAAAAAAATGCAGGTAAAATGAGCATGCCCAATGGATTTCAAAAATAGGTCCTCTATTACATACGCCCCTTGGATCATTATTGTTCGCCATATTCTCAAACTTTTAGAGTTGATTAGACTTAATCAAAAGACCAGCTCTTGATGTCAATTGTTAGGTGAGATTATGGAGTAGAAAAAAAGTCTAAATAGGGGTGAATATACCCTTATTAAAAAATTCAACTAACTTTCTAGAAATAGAATATCAGAGGTTTTTCAAAATTTCCCGTGAAAGTTTTAAAACAAAAATGGAGCTTTATACTTTTATTGGATTTCAATCATGTCAGAAAATACACAACTCACAAAACTCACAAAATGTTCAACAGTGATTAATTGAGTAATTGTAGAACACACGAGATGTGTCATGTATAATTGTTTTGATATATATCAGATTCTAACAACACTAGTTTTCCAAAATTAAATCACCACTAACCTTACGCAATAAATCTTTACCAATTGAATAAACGACAAAATATGCTAAGAATCGAAAACCTATGCATGCAATTATTCTACAAAAATAAAATGCGTGTGTGTGTGTGTGTGAGAGAGAGAGAGAGATAGAGAGATAGGGAGAGAGAGAGAGAGAGAGAGAGAGAGAGAGAGAGAGAGAGAGAGAGAGAGAGTACACTGGGATGTATAGTTGTTTGGCGTTCATCTTCGTTTGCTTACTCCACTCTTCAATGGTTTCTCATTGGAACTTGTTTTGAACCTTTATATTTTGACAAATATTACAAGAGTGCATATAATCACTATTCCATAAAAATGTTGATAAAAAAAATCTCATTTCTGAATCTTAACTTGTATTTAGCCTAATGTTAAACTCTTATGCATAATCTTTACTCGATTCACTCTTCTTAAATCTTCCAACTTCACCAATCTGCTCATAGTCTTAGTGTGTAGCAATCACCCATTGATCCCACTAGTTTCTTGAGTGATAAATTGTCTGAAGATTTGAAAAGAATTTCACCTTGTTTGTAGTCTTCCACACAGTCACTACCAAGGTAATATAGAGAGAATAGCCTCATTCTTTTCACTAGAATTTGTCATCACCAATGACAACAACCTCAGTTTTGCAATCTTCATTAAAAAGGCCTTCTCAAACCTTCAATAAAGATCAGTTTCAAGACAGAGTCCCCCTCAATCAATTACAAATATATCTTTATCAATGTCTTAAATCAAAACTAGAGATTGAAGATGAAAGAATTTTTGTTGCAAGAGTTTTGAGTTATCTAAAGAGAGGGTGTTGATTTTCACAAAAATCACAACGTAAATTATGATTTTCCACTTTGAAAAAAGATGATAAAATAAATTTATATGTGCGTGAGATTAAGCACAAAAATGGACAGAAAAAGTTAGTTAGATTCGAGTCTAAAACATCTCATATATTGAGTCAAATGAGCAAGCGAAGTGGAATAAGAAAGCACAAAGATTTTGACCCATTTCTTGACTAATTCGAATCACTTTATAATCTTGATTCGAGTCATAAAGACTTCTAATTCGAATAAGGTATAAATCTTGATACACGTAAATTTGGGCAGAGCCAAATTGAGAAATATAAAAATTGCTTGATTCGAGTCATGTGTAAAGTCTGATTCGAATCAAATGAAGAAGAGATTACTCAGATCTATCTTATTCGAATCAAGTGCATCTTGTGATTTGAATAATAAAGTTACCTGATTTAAATAAAGTTAAAAGTATGATTCGAGTCCGAGTGTTTGAAAAACTTTAGTTATCCTTTGCTCAATTTAATTTGAGTCAAGGTATGTACATGATTCAAATCATGTACGCAAAATCTCCATTTTTCATAATTTTCTAAAGATTTTGAGATTTTTCTTTCCACCTAACTTGGACCAATAACACATATGGTTCTTATTCCACCAACTCGTGCAATTGACTTACAGTATCATGACCAAATCTCAAATATAACAATTGATTTATGTATGCTTAAATAATTAATCAATTCAAACTTGATTCAGAGATGCGCAATCATGAAGAAGACTTAATAAACAATAATAAATGAAGTGAAAGTGATAAGACTAGCAACAAAACCGTATTGGGGTTCTCCCCTGGATGTATTAGGGACATGCAACTTCAACAATATCCTCACTAAGACTCGAGAACACTCTCAAAAGCACTATGGCTTAAAT